CCGGAGCCGGCGGCGACCGCGCCCGCGCCGAAGCCGCCGCCGCCGCCGCCGACGCCGCAAAAGGTCGCCGCGTACGGCGCGCCGGTGCCCGAGCCCGACGACGAGGAGTACGACGACGTCGACCCGCTGGCCGACGACGACGAGGACGCCATCCTCTGCGAGGAGACGCCCCTGTCGCAGGTCGCGGGCCTGCTCGTCCACAGGGAGGGCGAGCCCGTGCCCGGGTCCACGTGGCACGTCATCCCGACGCTGCGGTCGCCGCCGCCGGCCGTGACCAACGACGAGTTCTGCTACGCGGAGCTCGTCGACGAGTGCGTGAAGATGATCGAGGTCGTGGACCTCGCGAAGTTCTGGGACGACCGCGAGGGCCTCGGCGGCGACAAGGACGGGCCGACCTTCCGGGAGGCGACGAAACAGGTCAGCGTGGCCCGGGCCGTCGCGCTCTGCGTCGACGGCTTCGACGACACGACGCACACGCCGCGCGAGGCCGGGCTCCAGGCGCGCGGCGTGCCCTGGCCCGAGAAGCGCGACGACGCGGGCCACTGGGCCATGCTCGGCTACGGCCACGCCGCCGCGGCCATCACCGCGTCCCTGCTCGCCGTGGCCCGCCCCAAGGTCGAGTGGAAGGTCGTCGCGGGCCCCCACTACGCCTGCGTCGTCGGCGAGAAGCCGGGCGTCTACGTCGAGCGGCCGCCGCCGGGCCCCGACGACGAGCTCGTCCTCGACGACGGCACGGAGGCGTGGCTCGTCGACGCCGCGGCGCCGCTCCTCGAGTACCACGCCAAGGGGGCCTTCCGCGACGTCGTGAAGAAGAGCGGCTTCATGATCCTGGGGGGCGTGAGGGACGGCGACCACGTCGCCGTGCTCGAGCAGCGGTCCATCTTCAAGCGGCGGCCCGTGCCCGCCTGGGCGCCCGTCGCGTCGCCGGAGGACATGCGACAGCTCTGGGCGACCAAGAACATCGACGACGGCGACAAGCTCGGCGGCAAGAGCCGCCTCGACGCGCTGCCGACGCGGCCGTCGGACGCGCTCGGCGACTCGCTCCGCCTCTTCCCCGGCGAGCGCGCGGCGCGCGAGACGGCCGACAACAAGGCCGACGCCCCGGCCCCGCCCCCGAAGGTCGCCGGCGCCCGGCCCGGCGACTGGCTCGCGCTCAAGACCGAGGGCACGGCCGCGTTCCGGAAGGCGGGAAAAGACCGCGGCGCCGTCGAGGACGCGTACGTCGCCTACTCGGCGGCGCTCGACGCGCTGCGGCGCTGCGACGGCGACGTCGCCGCCGACCCCGGCGACGCCTGCGCCGCGGGCGCCGCGGGCGCCGACGCGGCGCGGTTCGCGGCGGCGACGTGCCTCGGCAACCGGAGCGCGGCGGCGCTCGCGCTCTGCGACTTCGCGCAGGCCGCGGCGGACGCCGAGGGCGCGCTGGCCTGGCTCGGCGCGCTGAGCGACGGCGCGCGCCGGGACCGCCAGGCCCTGCTGACGGAGAAGCGCGCGCGGCTCGCCGCGCGGCGCCAGCGCGCGACGGCGTCGCTCGCGCGCAGGGCGCCGCGCGACTGGCCCTTCGCGAGCGTCGTCATGCCGACGACGCCGGACCGGCTCCACTTCGCCGAGCGGGGCGCGGCGTCCCGTGTTTGATCGACCGAAAAAAAAACCGACGCCTTTCGGTAGGCGCGCGCTGCGCTGCTTCCTCGCGCTGGACTACCCGGGCCAGCTCGAGCTCGTCGTGCTCGACGACGAGTCCGAGGACGAGAGGAGCCTCGAGTTCTGGAAGGTCGCGAGCGGCCGCGACCGGCGCGTGCGCTACGCGTGCTGCCCCGCGCGGAGCTCGCTCGGGCACAAGCGGAACGTCGGCGCGCGCGAGGCGCTGGGGTCCGTGCTCCTCCACTTCGACGACGACGACGTCTACGGCCCGGGCTACGCGCGGACGCTCGTCGCGCCCGTCGCCTTCGGGGGCTACCAGGTCGCCAAGCTGTCCGCGTGGCTCGTCTGGGACGCGCACAGCGGCTCCGCGGGCTACGTGGATTTGGACGAGCGGGCGTTGACGGACGCGCGGGCGTGCCCCGCCATGCTCGCGCCGCTGCTCCGCAAGGGCCGCGACTCCTACGGCTTCAACTTCTGCTACGCGGCGAGCCTCGCGCGGAAGCTGCCGTTCCCGGAGATCGGCTTCGGCGAGGACGCGGCCTTTATCGCGAACGCGCTGCGGGCGAAGCACCGCGTCGCCTACGTGCGCGACGGCGCCGCATCCGTGCTCCACGTGCAGCACGGCGAGAACGCGTCGCGGTCCATCGCGCTGTCCTCGTGCGGCGAGCCGTTCCTCCGGGCGTCGCCGCTCTGGCCGTCGCTCGGCGCGGCGGACCTCGCGGCGACGGGCGGCGCGGCGCGCGCCGACGGCAAGGCGGGGCACGAGAACCGGGGGCTCTTCGTCTTCGACACGGAGCGCCTCGCCGCGCGCGGCGACGACGACGGCGCGATGGTGTCGCTCCTGAGCTGGGTCCAGTCCGACGCGGGCTTCGCGCCGAACCGCAAGGAGAAGCTCGGGCTGGCGTAAGGTTGTTTTTTTATTAAAGCGGGTGTTTCTCTGCTTCATGATCAGTGGGGTGCACCTTCAAAATCGGGTGCACCATTTTGGGTGCCGTCGCGGTGCTTGCGATGTTGTGAGAGCTGGATCGGCTGCCCCGACGACGGTGATGATGAACGGGGGTACCCTGGCTCCTCTGAAAGCATGCGCCTTATGCAAGGCCAGCAAACCCAGCCACTCATACAGCAAGACCCAGTGGGGAAAGGGCGACAAGCGCAAGTGTAAAACCTGCATCGAAACTCACCAAAAGGGGAAAGCACCAGCCAAACCCCCTGCTCCGGGTCCGACGGAGCCGACCATGCTCTACAAGGCCACGCGGATGGTCCTGACGCGCAAAGGAAAAAGCCAGACCTGGGGCTTCAAAAGTATGGACGGCGAGCCCGCCGACGCTCGGCACGTCGCGATCGCCCCGGTGCCGTTCCGGAGCGGCACGCGCGACCTGCGCCGCCTCGTCGAGCGTCCATCAGCGGCGCTCACCGGAGATTCCGGCACCTGGCGAGCGGCGGCGGCGGACCTCGTCGCCAAGGAGTCGCGCGCCGCGCTGCCCCACGGCGAGCGGATCTCGTTCCACCGCGACTCGGCGCTCTGCGCGACCCGGGCCGCGGCGCTCGCCCGAGATTTCAACCGCGCCGTCTGCTCCAAGGCCGCCTCCGTCGGCACGGTCGCCGCATTCGCCGCGCCGCCTTCCGTCGAGGTCGCGGCCGTCCGGATCTATCGGCTTCGGGACGCGCGCGCGCCCGGCGGGTTCCGCTACGCGCAGGTCGAGCCGCGGCTGGATACCGTGGTGAATCATGACGACCCCGGAGTGAGCGTGGGGAGTGACGCAGCGCACACGTTCTCCCACTACACCTACGAGGCGACGTCCGGCCAGGAGATCGTGCTCGGGCTCCGGGGCGAAGCCACGCGCTTCGTCTGTCCGCGGATCCACTCGATCCGACGAAGATTCGGAGGGAATGATCGTGGAGCGGCGGCGGCGCACGCATTCTTCCAGAAACACACGTGCAACTCCTTCTGCGCGTTCTTGGGGCTCCGGCAGCGCTCCTCCGCGGACATAGACCTCACGGCGGCCGACGAAATCATCGACGGCGACGAGGACGTCGTCGACCTTGCCGGCGACGCCGACGTCATAGACCTCGCGGGCGGCGACGTCGTCGACCTCGCCGCCGACGACGACTCGGACGTCGTCGACCTCGCCGCCAGCGACGACGACGACTCGGTCGTCGTCGACTTGACGGATCACGAGGACGTCGCCACGCCGGTGGCCAAGCGGACGCGCGCCGACTCCGACGACGAGGGCCGCGCGCCCACCGACGACGAGGGCCGCGCGCCCAAGCGGCCGCGGCAGGAAAACGTCCCGGTCTTCGACGTCGAAGCCGAGACGGACGAGCTCGCCGCGCGCGGCGCCGCGCGGCGACGACCGGCCGCCGGCATGATCACCATCGAGGACGCGACGGCGACGCTCGAGGCCTCGCTGGCGAGGGTGAAGAAGGAGAACGCCGCCCGCGTCCAGGAGGCCGTCGAGCAGAAGGAGGAGGAGAGCATGGAGTGCCCGATATGCATGGACGGCCGCAAGGACACGACCCTCGTGCCTTGCGGCCACGTCGTGTGCGCCGCCTGCGCGGGAGACGCGGCGACCTGCCCCACGTGCCGAGGCGCGGTCTCGTCGACGATGCGCATCTACCTCTAGTTTTGGTCAGAGAATAAGGCGGGCCCAGTGCGTCGAGCTTATGTTATCGGGGCCGAAGTACCGACGGTGTCGGCACTTGTGTCGGCGCGCGCGCATGGCGGCAGGCCTTGCCGTTCGGGCCCGCGTCGCGGCGACTCAAATCGAGCTCGATTGCCAACACCAAACCTCGGCCGCCGTCGAGGAGCGCGCGCGCGCCCGCAGCCGCCTCCGGGAACCGACCGGAAAGCAGCAACCATGCCGCTCATCGAGAACGACACGGGCTACGAGCAGGCGATGATCGACCTCGCCAAGGCCGTGGAGCTCTGGGGCGGCGAGGCGTCGATGATCGCCGGCTGGCGCACGGAGCTCTACGACCGGCCGACGGGCAACAGCGCGGGGACGACGGACCGCTACTTCTACGACACGTCGGGCAAGAAGTTCCGGTCGCGGGCGGAGATCGCGCGCGCGCTCGGCCTCAGCGGCGCGCCGGCCGTGCGGATCAAGGGCGAGGGCATGAGCGGCGCGCTGCAGCCGGGCGAGAAGCCCGCGACGTTCCAGTTCCGCTGGGACGACGGCTCCGAGGAGGAGGGCACGCTGAAGTCGCGGGGCCTGACCCGCGACTTCCTCGGGAGCTCGAAAGCGTTCGAGATCGGCGGCGACTTCCGCGAGTTCGACGCGCGGAACGTGCTCGGCGACACCAAGGTCTGCCGGCCCGCGCGCGTGCCCCGGCGCTGGCGGCCTATATTGGAAAACTTTTACGTGCTGCCGGCGACGCGCGAGCCGAGCGGGCCGAGCCACGAGTGGCCCCGGTGCAACTGCGCCTACGACGCGGAAGCGGGCAAATCGGGCTGCGGCGAGTGCTCCGACTGCGTGAACCGCGACCTCTACGTCGAGTGCGCGCTGGACTGCTGCGGCGGCGGCGAGCCCCTGGACGCGGAGCCGGAGACGTGCGTCGAGTGCGCGCCCGCGCGCGCGGCGCGCGCGTCGACGCGGCAGCGGCGGACCGACGGCCGCCGCAAGCCCTGCGGCAACACGGTCATCCAGCGGCGCGCCTTCCCGCCCATGGAGATCTTCGACACGGGCGACGACAACCGGGGCTTCGGCCTGCGGTGCCGCGTCGACGTGAAGGCCGGGACGATGCTCGGCGAGTACCGGGGCGAGGTCATCGACGCCGCGGAGCTCCAGCGCCGCAAGGAGACGCGGGACGCCGCGGACCCCTTCTACATCGCGGCCCTCGGCGACGGCCTGGCCATCGACGCGGGCCGCAAGGGCGCCTACGCGCGCTTCGCGAACCACTCGTGCGCGCCGAACTGCGCGTTGGAGAAGTGGCGCGTCGGCGAGGAGCCGCGGCTCGTGCTCGTCGCCCGCGGCGCCATCCCGGCGAACACGGAGCTCACCTACGACTACAACGCCGGCGGCGGCGTCGCCGACGTGACCGTGGCGCAGCAGTGCCGCTGCGGCGCGCCGAACTGCGCGGGCGCGATCGGCGCCAAGGTCGACAGGGACCAGCTCGTCGTCCCCCGCGGCTACGTCGAGGACGACCCGGACGCGGAGAGCGACGACGACGACGGCGCGCTCCGGCCGGCGGCGACGCCCATGGGGCAGGTCGAGGGCGGCTGCCGCTCGTGGACCGACGACGAGGTCGACGCGCTGAAGGAGGCCGTCGCGGCGCGGGGCACGCGCGACTGGGAGGGCGTGCTCGCCGACTACTTCGAGCACACGGGCCGCACGAAGTCGCAGCTCGTGTCCAAGTGGGCCAACGTCAAGAAGCGCGACGCGGCCGCCGCGGCCGCGGCCGACGCCGCGAACGACCGCCTCGCGGGCGGCGCCAAGAAGCGCAAGCCCAAGCCGGGCGAGCCCGCGCCGCCGAAGAAGAAGAAGAAGCCCGCGCGCAGCGCGCCCGTCGCCGCCGCCGTCGACGGGCCCCTCGCGGCGGCCTGGGCGGCGGACGCGCACGCGGCGCTCGTCGGCGCCGCCGCGGCGCCGGGCGCGGACGCGGGGCTCGAGCTCGCCGAGGCGCTCTTCGCCGCGGCGACGCGCGCCGACGAGCGCGCGGGCACCAAGGACCTCCACTGCTTCTGCCGCCTGCCCGAGGACTGCGCGATGCCCGACGCCGAGGGCGAGCCCATGGACGGCGACGCGGCGCTCGTGAACTGCGACGGCTGCGAGTGCTGGGTCCACCCGCGCTGCGTGCGCCTCGCGGCGCTGCCGGACGACGACGCGCCCTTCTTCTGCGCGACGTGCTGCCTCGAGCGCGGCGACGCCGCGCCGTTCCGGCGCATCGGGGAGGAGCCGGGCCGCGTCTGGAAGACGTGGGCGCCCGCGGCGACGGCGGAGACGGTCGCGGCCGCGCTGGTGGCCTTCGAGGCCTCGGGCAAGGCCGACGCCCTGCAGTACGCGCGCCTCGCGCGCGACTTCGTCGCCAAGGTCGGCGCCGAGGCGGAGCGCTGGGCCGGCCGCTGCGACGCCGCGCTGGCGTCGTCGGCGAAGCCCAAGGCGCTCGCGGAGCTCGTCTGCGAGGGCCAGACGCTGGAGGTCGTCGACGAGCCGCGCATGGCCAAGGCGAAGGCGGCGCTCCTCGCGTCGCTGGAACGCGCGGCGGCCGCGGACGTGTCGACGAGCGCGGAGTCGCCGTCGTCGTCGACGACGCCCGCCGACGCGCCGGCGGCCGAGGCGCCGCCCGACGCCATGACCGACATGCTCGGCTTGCCCTAGGACGCTCGTTCGCGCGAGCTCGTAAACATGACGGATGCTCACCACGTTGAACTCACGTTGACTCTGTTCAAACGCGAGCTCTGCGACGATAGTGGTCTCCGGCGGCCACGCCGTTGCTCGCGCGTGCTCGCCCTCCTTTTGCACAACCATGGCCGACCTGCCTCCCGAGTCGTTCGGCTTCGAGGGCTTGGGCGGCGCGAATTGGCTCGACGAGTCGTCGCTCCCCATGGGCCTCGACTCGCCCATGCTCCTGGGCTTCTCGCCGCGCGGCGCGACGCCCGGCCGGCGGCAGCAGTCGAGCCCTGGCGCCCTGGCCGCCCTGGCGCCGAACATGCCGAGCTTCTCGCCCGGCGCGACGGCCAAGCCCGCGCCGAAGCGGCGCAAGGCGCGGGCGAAGCCGAAGGAACGCGCGGCGCCGCCGCTCGAGCGGAGCGGCTCCGCGCAGCGCATGCCGCCGCCGCCGCCGCGGCGGTCGCCGCGCAAGTCGCCGGCCGCGTCGCCCACGGCCGCGTCGCCCAAGGCCGCGTCGCCCGGCGCCGCCGCCCGGGCCCGGCACGACCGCGTCGGCGACACCTTTAACCTCGCGAACCTCGCGCGCGTCGCCGCGGCGCGGCCCAAGAGCCCCGTGCCGCGGCGGAAGACGCCGCCGACGCGGACGCTGCGCGTGGGGCCCTTCGACGCCGCGAGCCGCGCCCTCGTCGTCGACGCGGGCCTCGACCCGGAGCGCACGGTCACGGTGCCCCCGGGCTTCAAATGCGCGGACCTCTACGAGGCCATCGCGCGGCCGTGGCGCGGCCTCGACGGCGTCGTCGTCCTCGGCGCGAGCCGGGGCCGGTGCGTCTACAAGTTCTGGCCGCGCGCGCCGCCGCGCGCGTCGCCGCCGCGCGACACGCGGTCGAGCTCGTGCGCGGACACCCAGATCGTCCCGAGCTCGTCGGACGACTCGCGCGACGGCGTGTCGTCCCTCTCCTCGGCGTCGCGGGACCGCGGCACGCCCCGCAAGGCGTCGCCGTCGCCGCGGACGCACCGGGTCACGTCGTCCGCGGGGCCCCTGAAGCAGCGGCCGCCGCCGGACTCGCCGGGCGACGACGACGACGACGCCGACGCCGCGGCCGAGGTCGCGCGCCTCGAGGCCGCGCTCGCGCAGGCGAAGCGCAAGGTGAAGAAGCGCAAGGCGCCGGACACGCCCGCGGCCTGCTGGCCGGTGGTCGTCTCCGACACGACGCCGCTCCTGTCGCCCGGCGCGCTCACGAACACGTTCGCGGGCGAGACGCCGGACTTCGACTTCGGCGCGTCGCCCCCGGCGAGCTCCGCGAAGCGCCGGTCCGCGTCGCGGTCCGCGTCGCGGTCGCGGTCCTCGGGCGGCTCGAGCCGCTCCGTGCCCTACCGCACGCGCCCGGACGCGCCGAAGCCCCGGCGGCTCGTGTAAGGCCTTTGTTGTGCTAGTTTAGGAGGGCCCGCTGCGCGGTGGCTTGCAGCGCGCGGATGTCCGCGGACGTCGCCTCGATCGCGCGTTGCAAGGCGAGGGCGCCGTCGACGAGCGCAAATTTGTGGATGGCGCACAAGAGCCAGATCAGAGTGATGAGGGTGTCATTGAGGCAATTCACAGCCAGGACGAGCCGCTCATCGTCCCGTTCGTCATCGTCATCGTCATCGTCGTCTCGGCAGCGGTAAGTATACGCAGGCACCGTGGCGAGGAGCACAGTGTAAGCCGCAACGAACGCGGGGTGAAAGACGAAGCCGTCGGCGTGGACAAGCTGGAGATGAACCCAGAAGCAGTAAAACGAGATTGGAACCATGAGGAGTAAGTTTGCGGCGCCCACACAATGGGCGGCAAACGCCTGGTCTCGCCAGAGCAGGACGCAGCCTGCGAAGAGGACGGCGGCTTCGAAGACGTAAAAGCACGCATTTCCCACACGCCGCCGACGCCGCAGACCCTCAGTTGGAGGACACGTGTGGTTAAGCGCTTTGTCGCAGTCGAAGTCCTTCGCCGCGCCCCCGCGCCGCATGTGCTCGGTGCGCAGAATTTCGCACTGACTGCATTTGCACCACACCGCGCGCGCCTGCTCGCAGATCGTCGCGTTTGACGCGCCGCCCTCGACAGCCCGCGCGCCGGCGGCGCGCGCGCCGGCGGCGCAGAACCACAGGAGCATCAGGCGGCTACCGAAAGCCATTCTGGAGTCGCCCGGTCGAGCGGGGCGGTGGCGCGCGCGAGGGGCCTGCTCTCGATGATGAGCTCGACCCAGTTCGTCTCGACCGATTACGATGCTGGAAGGTTTTTTGTTGCAGTTACTAGTAATGCTCGCCGGGGGGCTTCGGGGGCGTTCGGCGCCGGACTTCGCTTCGACGCGTCGCCCCCGGCGATCGGCGCCGCTCCGCGCCGCTCCGCGCCGCGCGCTCCGTGTCGGCGGCGGCGCTCCGCTTCGTCTGGCGGCCGGGGTCGGGCCGCTCCCTACCCTGCCCGGTCCGCACGCCCCCCCGGGCCGGGCCCGAACACTGGTACTGGAGCGCCGAACGGTGGCGACCGGGCCCGTGTCAGCTGTGTGCTGCTGTGCGCCACCCTTGCTCCCCGGCGGCGAAAAGCCGCCCACCGGACGGAAAACGCACAAAGGCAACCCAAAGTCCCAAAGGCAACGCTCAGCGACACTCTCTCTCTCGTCGAATGAGTGGCTCCAGGGAGGTCCGTTCGTGTCCTCGATTTTGGATGGCACGTGATCTTCGGGGTTCCGGACCAATGCTGTTGGCAAGAGCAGCTCCTCGTCTCAAGCTCCCGCTGCCCAATCGACGGGCTGCGATTGCGATTTTCGTGAAAACAACACTTCACCCTCTTCATCGGCTTATTGAGTTTTGTGACCGGCCACAGACAAGAGGCTGGCACAGACGTCCTCGCTGCGGCGGTCTGCCAATTGAGGAAGGCAGCGCAGATGGCCGCGGTCGCCGTCCCCGCGGTCACGCCCCCCCTCGGGGCGCCCCCCGCCAAGTTCGAGCCCCCCCCGCCCGTCGTGTCCGCGTCGGAGGAGAGCAACGACGGCGACAATTCCACGGAAAACGGGGCCACGGACGCCGGCGCCCCCGAGGCGGCGACGTCGTCGTCCGGGCGCGTGACGCGCCTGAGCCGGCGCGCCGCCGAGTCCCTCGAGTCCGGGGAAGGCGGCGGGGACGCCCCGGAGCCCCCCGCCGGGGGCGACGGCGCGCCGAAGGCGCCGCCGGCGAAGAAGCAGCGGCCCGACCAGCGCCGCGGCAAGTGGACGGCCCCCGAGGAGGCCTACGCGTCGCTCGTCATCGACCACTTCATCAACGGCAAGGCGCCGGGCTGCACGGGGGGCGAGTCGCTACGCGCGCTCCTCGCGGGCCTCCTCCGGTGCACGCCGATGCGCATCACGAAGAAGTTCAGCCGGACGCGCATGATCGGCAAGAGCTCGTTCAAGAAGACGAGCGAGCTCACGGCCCAGGAGCGCGTCGAGCTCGACGCGGCGCGGTCCGCCTTCCTCAAGATGGGCGGCCACAAGGAGAGCCGGAAGCGGCCGCGGTCCGACGCGGACGCCGCGCAGCACGACTGGCTCACGAGCGGCTGCGACCCGACGGCCTGGCAGTTCGAGGACGCGCCGGACCACAGCCTCCACGGCGGCGTCCTCGACCTGAGCCTCCAGTCCGCGTCCCTCTCCGGCTCGCGGTCCTGGAGCCAGTCGAACCGGACCGTCCGCGTGGCCGTCGCGCCGACGGCGTGCGGCTACGCGACCAAGGAGGGCAAGACCTGCGTCCGCGTCGTCTGCAAGAGCGACCCGAACCTCCTCGCCGTCGTCGGCGGCGTCTTCGCGCGCCACCGCGCCTTCATCGCGACGCTCCACGTCGACACGGACCCGAATCTCGTCGCGAACGTCCGCGCGGAGCTCAAGACGTGCGCGACGGGCGAGCCCCTGCCGCGCGACCAGCTCGCGACCCTCGAGCGCGCCCTCATCGCGGCGCTGTCGCCGGCGGCGCCGACGCTCTCGGCGAGCCCCGCGGCGCTCTCGGCCGCGTCCATTTCCGCGGCGTCGTCGCTCCTGTCCGTGTCGACGGCGACGGCGTCGGGCCCGCCCGTCCGCGGCCCGCCGCCGCCGGCGGCGGACCGGCCCCGCGCCGTCTCCGCCGAGGCCGCGTCGGAGACGGCGGCGGAACTCGTCGCCCTCGCGCGCGCGGCCGCGGAGCCCGCGCGCGGCCCGCCGCCGCAAAAGGCGCCGCCGCGGCCCGCCGCCGTCGCGCCGCAGGAGTTCAAGGGCAAGGACTTCTTCAAGGTCCACCAGCCGCCGAAGATCGTGCCCCTGACGCCCGCGGAGCTCAAGAACGTCCTCTCGGGCCTCCAGTAGCCCGAGACGCCCGCAAGAAAATCATACCGAATTCACGCCGGAATTTCAAGGAAGTAGCCGCCGCCCGGAGCGCGCCGACGAGTACCCCAAATTGCACATACACACCCTCGTCCGGCGCCCACCCGAGCCGCCGCCGTTTGAAATTGCGGCCTTTACACGCTGGGACCTCGCTGTCCCGCGCCCTCGACCCCCTTGCCTGCTCGCGTCGCGGCCCGCGCCCACACCGCGCCCGCCGCCGCCCTGTTGTCCCTGTTGTTCACTGTTGTTGAACTCACATCGTAATCACATGTCTGACAAGAAAGCCGACTCGCGACGTGCACTTCAGGACTGGTGGGGGCAGTGGTAGTCTCGATTGGCTTCTAGGGCTGATCTGAATTTTTTGGGAAATTTCGAACTTGAAGCACGAATCAAAGTTTACTCGAAAACCACCAGCGCCGCAGAGCAAACTATGGCGCAGCGCCTCGACGCCGCCCTCGAGAGCGAAGCCCAGTACCGCGACGAGAACGTGGCCTGCCTCGACGACGCCCAGCTCGCGCTCTACGAGGCCTGGCGCGCGCGGCGCCTGCGGCGCGTGCTCAAGAGCGAGGTGTCGGCCCTGTTGCGGTCCGGCGCCGCCTTCGAGCACACGTTCACCCGGGAAGCCCTGGGCCTCGAGCTCGCCCTCGTGGCGGCGGGCGGGCGCACCTGGGTCGCCATCGAGCGCGTCCGCGACTCCTGCGAGCTCCGGGACGCCCTCGAGCCCTTCGACGAGATCCTCGCCGTCGAGGGCGTCGTCGTCGAGCCGCCCGACGAGGCCGCGTTCCAGGCGCTCTGCGAGCTCATCGCCGGCGCGCCCCGGCCCCTGACGCTCACGCTCCTGCGCCGCCGCGCGACCCCGCCGACGCCGTCCGCCGTCGTCGCCGCGACGCGCGCGGCGCCGCGGAGCCCGAACCGCGGCGGCGTCGCGCGGCGCACGTCCGACGGCGCGGTCTGCACGCCGTCGCCCGCCAAGGAGCGCTGCGAGCCCGACGGGTCCGCGCGGCGGACGACGCGGCGCATCGTCGCGCTGTCCTGGGACGCGGCGCGCGCGCCGCCGTCCGCGGCGGAGCTCCGCCGCTTCTTCGGCGCTTACGACTTCGTCGTCGCCGCGCACGTCGCGGGGCACCGCGCCCTCGTGCTCGTCACGTCGGAGCGCGCGGCCCGGGACGCCGTGCGCGCCTGCCGCCGGAGCTTCCCGGCGGGGGCGCTCCGGGCCCGCGTGCTCGGCCGCGACCGGAAGGTCGACCCGCGCGAGGACGACATACGGGCCAAGACGCCGGGCCCGACGCACGTCGTCGACCGCATCCGCTCCGCGCGCAAGCTCCAGCTGCGGTCCTCCATGATGGGCGAGCTCTCCGACGACGACGACCTCACGTCCTCGAGCGAGGAGGAGGACGACGACGAGGAGGACGCGACGGAGGCGCCCGCGCCCGCGCCCGCGCCGCGGACGCCCGCGATGAGCGTGTCCTTCGCGTCCCCCGTCGCGAGCACGAAGGCGGCGGTGGAGACGCCGGCCGCCGAGCGGACGCCGGCGGCGGTCGCGCGGCCGCAGGCCAAGGCCGTCATGGTCGTCGCGACGGCGCGGACGGCGTCGCCCGCGGTCTCGACGCCCGGGGTCTCGACGCCCGGGACGACGCCCGCGAAGGCGCCGCGGGGCGCCGCGACGCCGACGCCGACGCTCCCGGCCCCGGCGCCGAGGACCGGGACGCCCCGGACGGCCGACGCCGCGGCGCCCGGCGCGGCGACGCCGGGCGGCCCCGCGACGCCCGGGCCCGCGACGCCCGCGCCGACGCCGCGCGAGACGCCCATGCTCTCGGCGCTGCGGTCCGCGCGGCGCGCGTCGCTGGCGCTGACGCCCGCGGAGGCGCCCCTCGTCGCCGAGGTCGCGGTGATGAACCGCGCGGCCGCGGCGCCGCCGGAGCCGGAGCTCGTCGCCGTCGCGGCGACGCACCGGGTCGGCGCGCCCGTGGCGGCGGCGGAAGCGCCCGCGCGGGCCGCGGCCGCCGCCGCGGCCTCGGGCGGCGGCAAGCCCGCGCCGCCGGCCGCGGCCGCGGCCGCCGCGCGGCCGCCGCCGCTCTCGGCGCCGCCGCCGTCGCCCGTCAACGCGCCGCCCGCGCCGCCGCCACCGCCGGCCTACGCGAGGCGCGGCGCGCTGTCGGCGCTCCACGAGGAGACGACGCTCGCCCAGGCCGAGGCGGCCGCCGAGCGCGACCGCGCGATCCGGGCCGAGCACATGCTGCGCATCGCGCTCCTGCGGCCGGCGAGCGACGCGTGGCGCGATCGCGCGGTCCTCGCGGAGCACAAGCTGCGCGTGTTGGGCCGCGCGGCGGCGTCCTGCAGCCGCCGGCCGCCGGTGACCGCCGGCCGCTTCCACCCGGTGCTGGGGGCCGCGGCGCCGCCGGCGACGCGCTTCGCCTACGGCGGCCACCTCCGGCGCTACGCGGCGCCGTCGCCGGCCCAGCGCGAGGACCACCTCGGCGCCTTCATCAACGCCCAGCTCGTCGGCCTTTCGCGCGACATCAAGCCCCAGGGCGCGCCGCAGCAGCAGTACCAGGTCCCGCGGCAGTACCACCACCAGCGCGCGCCGACCTACGCCGCGGGCGCTCCGCCGGGCTACCGCGGGCCGGTCTACGGCGCCGGGGGCGTCCGCGTCGCCTAAAAGTTACTAGTACGCCGAGAGCAGCTCCGCGGACCCCTGGTCGTAGACGAGGCCCGTCCTCTTGAAGTGGCGGTGGTAGAGGAGGTCGAAGTCGTCGGCGAGCCGCGGCGAGAAGTGGTTCTGCCAGTCGCCGATCTTGCCCTTGCGCATGTGGCCCCGGCCGGCGGCCCAGTCGTCGTCCTGGGCCGCGATCTGCGCCCGCATCGCCGAAAAGCCCGCCTTCTCCGCGACGGTTTCGATCAACGTCTGGTCGAGCGCCTCGTCGGGCCAGAGGAGCCGCGCGACGCGGGCGACGGCGTCGACGGGGTCGTCGAGCATGTCCTCGTAGTGGATCCAGAGCCGGTCCGCGCGATCCCAGTCCTCGCCGTCGCGCCACTCGCGCGTCCACTCGAACCAGCTCCCGGACGGCACGGCGCCCGCGGCCCAGGCCGACGCCCAGGCGGCGAAGGGCCAGCCCCGCTTGTGGGGGTTGAACGCGTGGTAGTAGCCCGACGTGCACGCGTCCTTCGGGTTGCGCGTCACGACGACGACGCGGACGCCCTCGGGCAGGTCGCCGGCGTCGTCCCGCCCCAACAGGAGTCGCCGCCGCGCGTGGCTCTTGATGACCCGCGGCGCCGGCATGTTTTCGAAGTCGGCGAGCGACACGGGCGTGCCCTCGCCCCGCTTCCCGAAGGCTCCGAAGCCGCCGTCGGCGGACAGCGCGGCCTCGAGCCAGACCTTGCCGCGGCCCCGCGCCGCCGAGTAGGCGTTCTTGTGGACGGGGTCCAGCGCGCCGGCGTCGCCGCGGGCGACGAGGAGCAGCAGGATCTGCTCGAGCCACGTCGTGCCGCACTTCGCGAACGTCGCCACTATCACGTCGCCTTGCCGCAGCTCCACGGCGCCCTGGAGCCACTGCAGCCGCTCGGGCGTGACGAAGGGCGGGTAGGGCGTGCCCGCCGCCCAACCTTTGCCGAAGGAATAGGATTCTTTCGTGCGGATGTGCTGGACCGTCGTCGTCGCCTTGCCCTGCCGCTCGTCGACGTCCACGGTCACGTCGTAGGCCTCGACGCCCTCGGCGTCGCGCTTGCAGCGCTTGCGGCGCTTGTTTAACTGTGCGAGCAGCAGCACGAGCACGGCGCTGCCCGCTAGGAGGGTGAGCTTCCTTTGGTTGTCCATCATGCTCGAGCACGGCTAGGAGGGCGAGCTTTGGTTGTCCATCATGCAGCCCGCGAACACATTCAACGAAATCCGCCATTGCACTCAAGGTCGACCCGCCAAGGGAGAGAGAGAGACGGCCGATCCGTGAGAAGACTGCTTCGCTTCTGCCGCCGAAGCCTGTCGAGATCGACGTCTCAAGTCGTCGTCCACGCCGCACAGTTCGCCAGAAGTTGCTCGTTTTGTCGCATCATCCCCTCGAGAAGCGCTCCGGTGATTCCGCCTCGCTTCCCGGCCAAGAATCATGTTCCGCGCCGTCGCGCTCCTCCTCACGACGGCCAAGGCGCTCCACGTCTCCAAGGGCACGTGGCACAACTACCCCCGGGTCGACGCGAAGGCGATCGACGCGCGCGACGCGCGCCGCGAAAGAAACGAGCGGCTCGACGCCGAGTCGCGGGGCCTCGTGACGGACCTCCGCGAACACGTCAAGCCCGTGCTCGCCGCCATGACCGACTCCCCGGCGCTCAAGTACGACATCGAGGCCGTGAAGAAGGCGTCGGAGGTCGAGGGCGCCGAGGCCCGCGCCGTCGAGGCCGCGCTCCACGCGACGACGCTCAAGAACCAGCAGGGCGCGGCCTGGGAGCCGATCGCGTGGAAGGACGCCACCGACGAGACGTCGCGGCGTCTCGCGAAACTCTACGAGGACGGCCCAGAGGAGCCAGGATACGCCTAGGATACCCGTAACGCAGTCTCACTCTGATCTGGGCTATGTCCCCGCTTTCGCGCTGTGAGCCACCGCGCTACACCTGCTAGCTGTGCGCAGCTACACCGCTACGGGCCTGCGCGCAGAGCGCGCCGCCCGCAGCAGATCCACCGCTCGCGAGCGGCGGATAACCCCTGGAACCGGAGCGCGCGCCGCCGCAGAGCCCGGCGCCGCGCCGCGCTCCGGTCCAGGCTCCACCAGCGCCCGCGCGGACCGCGCGCGGCGCAGCGGCGAGGACAGCAGCGCCCCGCCTTCCTACAATGCCGCCGCGGACCCGCGCGGGCGCGGGCGCCGGCGGCGACGGCGACGACGAGCCGACGCTCCTCAGTATCGTCGAGCTGAACAAGCTCTTCAAGGACGTCGTCATGTTCACGCCGCGGAGCGGCGTCCATGACACCAACAAGGCCCTGTTCAGGGCCTGGACGCGGTCGATCATGCTCCACGCGCCCGTGCTCGAGATCGTCGGACGGCACGCCAAAGCCGACTTCGGCGACATCTACGACAGCGAGTGGGCGAAGATCGACCAGTCCGAGCGGCCGCAGGCCGCGCACATGCTCGCCTACTTCCTCAAGACGAAGACCGCGGCCACGGCCGCGAGCCTCGTCCGCAGCCTCTCCGGCAAGGGCGCCGACGCCAAGGAGATGTTCGTCAAGCTCGCCAAGATGTACGGCACGTACAACGACCAGGGCGTCAGCATCCGCAAACAGCTCGCGGCGCTCAACATGCGCACGCTCGGCGGACCGACCGAGCTCCAGCTCGAGCTCGACGACCTGTCGCAGCTGTACGAGGACACGTGCGGCCACGCACTACCCGAGGGGCAGGTCCGCCAGTACTTTCTCGACGGCATGGACCCGCGCGGCGGCCGGAGTCACCCGGACCTGACCGCCGCGCACGACATCTACGTCGCCCACGGAACGTCGGTCGACGAGATGGTCGAGGCCGTCATCAAGGCCATCGAGGCGCGCGCCAACACGCCGAACCCGCTCACCTTCGGCAAGGCGCCCGGCGACATCGGCGGCATCGCGGCCGCGGCCGCGGCCGCGCCGTCGCCCGCGCCGCCGCCCGCCAAGCCGCCCGAATGGACGGCGGCGACGAGCAAGGGCAAGCCGAAGTGCCCGTCGTGCAACGGCACGGGGGTGCAGCTCACCGCCAACGGCCGGCCCGTCCTGTTCTGTCTGATCCACAAGCAGTGCTCCCACTCCACGGATCAATGCCATATAATGGCCAAGCTCGCCCGCGACTGGAACGACGCCGACGCCAGCCGCGGAAAGAGCCAAGACCGCGGCCGCGGCCGCGGCGGCAAGGGCCGAGGCGCCGGCGGCTCCCTCGCCGAGGCGTCCCGCGCCCTCGTGGCTTCGGCCGCCGCGTCGCTCCAGGACGACGGCACCGCGCTGCCCGACGACCGCTCGGCGCTCACCGACGACCGTTCGATCGGCGACTACAGCCGGGCCTGTTCTGCAAGGCGTTCAATCAAGGCGTCGTCTACGTACTCGCGTACGTCGACGACCTCCTCGTCATCGGCACGCCACGCCACCAGGCCGGCGTTATCGACGACCTCAAAGCCGCGTTTCCCATGACCGAGGGCGGCGAGGACTACCTCGGGCTGCAGTTCCAGGTCGAGCCCGGGCGCGTCCGCGTCCATCAAGCCGAGTACGCCTCAAAAATCTGCGCCAAGTTCGGCTTCGCCCGCTCGTCGTCCGTGAAGACACCGTTGTCGACGGACTGGAACGCGGGAAACACCGAGCAGCCCTCAGGCGGCCGGCCGGGCCGCATCACCAGGGAGAACATGGACAGCGCCCTCGGCGCCATCGGCTACCTGGCCACGCGCACGATGCCATGGCTCAGCTTCGCGTTCGGAGTCCTGAGCACGGTCGCCAGAGCCACCCCGGCGTTCCCGGACCACCCGACGCCCGGCGCTATGTCAGCGCTCGGGCGCGTCTTCCGCTACGTCAACTCCCACGCCCAGCTCGGGCTCGCCTACACCCGCTGCGCCGAGTTCGCACTCGACGGCTACATGGACGCCTCGCACGGACGCGAGATCCACCGCACGGCGTCCGGCGTCTGCCGCTCGCGCTCCGGCGGCTACATCTTCGCATGCGGCGCGTCCGTCTGCGCGTGGTCGTCGGTCCAGTACGCGACGGCGATCTCGACCTTCGAGGCCGAGCTGTACGCCCTGGTCGTGCTCGTCCGCGTACTCCTGAGCATGCGCTCTCTCGCATCCTTCATGCTCAAGCGCAGCCTCCGGCCGTCGCACGTTTACTGCGACAACGAGTCGGCAATACTCTTCCTTCGCGGACGCGACCTTTCCGCCCGGGCGCGGCACATTCGGTGCCAGCTCGGCTTCCTCTACGACGCGCTCGACTCCGGCGAGCTCATCCTCCATCACGTCCCATCGAAGTTCAACCCGGCGAACACTCTCACTGCCGCCGAAGACGAGGATCGCTTCCGGCGCTCGCTCGCAATGATCGCCGGGCTCCGCGTCAACGACAGGAACGAGCTCGTCGACCTTCCTCTCGCCTAGGCCTGGCGGCCCGCGACCCTGCCGAGCCAACCTGGCCAGCGGGCCGCTCCTCCCGCCCGCCTCCCTGCACGCCGCGGCGTGCACAACACTCCCGCGCCTGAGGCCGCGGGCGACCCCGCGGGGTCGTCCGCCGGAGCCCGCGCCTACTTCCTCCCTACGCCCGGAACAGCGACAACCCTGCGGGGTTCTACGCCGGTTCCCGCTCTTCAGGCTCAACACGGCGTGCCCGCAGGGCACGCCGCACCGCCGTTCCCTCCCCGGCGCGGTGCCGTGGCACCCGCCCGCCTCCCTGCACGCTGCGGCGTGCACACTCTCATTCCCCGGCCTGGCTTCGCAGTCCCCGCTCCGCCTTTCCGGCCGCGGCGGGGGAGCAGAGGAGCCAGGATACGCCTAGGATACCCGTAACGCAGTCTCACTCTGATCTGCGGCCTCGCGACGGTGAAGAAGCGCGCGGAGATGACGTCGAAGCTCCAGAGCTACCAGGCGCGGCAGCGCATCGTGAACCTGTACCAGGAGGGCCTCGACCGCATCAAGGAGCGGCATCTCAAGAAGTATCTCCACCACCACTACCTCAAAGACCAAGAAGAGAAGAAGAAGCGCGACGCGGCGACGCGGGAGGCGCTCGTCGGCGAGATCCACGGGTCCTGGCAATTGGACACGGGCGACGCCAACCCGCGCGTCGTCGAGCTCCTCGAGGATGGCAAGGTCGAGATCAAGACGGACCGCGGCGAATACGGCACCTGGGCCATCGAGCGGATCCGGGGCTCCGCGGCGAGCATCGCCGTGCACCTCTTCATGACGCCCGCGCCGTCGCTGCGCTGCAAGGAGCACGTCTTCAAGGGCGTCGTCAAGGACGACTTCGCCGTCGCCACGGAGACGAGCGCGGCGCTGTGGGTGATGAAGAAGCTCTGAGCTCCCTCCTCGCCTGTGTGAACTTGCACAGCTCCCAACCATTTCCCGGAACCCGTCCTTGTGCATGCCTCCCGCGCAGCTCCCACCCTTTTCCCCGGCGGGGCTCGTTCCGCGCGGACTCGCGCGGCCCTTCGCCTCGACCCGTACCGGGGGGATCTCTAGTTCCCCTCGAGATGTGAATAAGTTCATCCTCCTGTTTCTCTTGCTTTCGCCGCGAGAGGTCTTCGGCTTCGCACCAGGCGTCGCACCGTGAGCGCGCCTGCGGCAGGTGATTTTGTGGTTGACATCGAGAAGCTCTCCCAGAGCTCGGCGACGAGGTTCGCCGCGCGCGACGCATCTCGACGCCATGGACTCGTCCGGGTGCGGCATCGCCTTCTTCGACAGTGGCCACGGTTTCAAAACGAAGGAGGAGGACATCGCCGACGAGGAGAAGTTCGTCGAGGGCTGCAAAGTGCTCCGCCTCGTGGCCCAAAACAAGCTCGACGCCGTCGCCGAGGCCGTCGACGCCCAGCCGTTTTTACTGAACTTCCGCGACTACGATCGGCGGACGCCGCTCCACATCGCCGCGTCCGAGGGCCACGTCGACATCGTCGAATTCCTCACGTCGCGCGGCGCCCGCGTGAACCGGAGCGACCGCTGGGGCGGGTCGCCCTTGGACGACGCGCTGCGCCACCGGCACCACGACGTCGTCGCGGTGCTGCGGAAGCGCGAGGCGCGCGTGGGCGCGGTCGACTACAAGACGCAGCTCATCTCCGCGGCGGCCGCGGGCAACGTCCAGGAGGTCGCGGAGTTGCTCGACGACGGCGCCGCGGACGTCGATTCCACGGACTACGACCGGCGCACGGCGCTGCACGTCGCGGCGTCGGAGGGCCACGTCGTCGTCGTGCGGCTGCTCGTCCACTCCGGCGCGGATCCGAACGCGCGGGACCGCTGGGGCAACGGCCCGCTCGAGGGCGCGGAGCCGGGCTCCAAGTGCGAGCGCGCCCTGTTACGCGCCGGCGCGGAGCCGCGGCGGAGCTTCACGCCGCCGCGCGCGCGCGAGGACGAGGGCGACCTCGGCGCGTTGGACCCCGGCGAGGTCGAGGTCGGCGCGCGCATCGGCGGCGGGTCCTTCGGCGTCGTCCACCGCGCGCGGTGGCGCGGCACGCCCGTGGCGGCCAAGTGCCTCGAGACGACGTCCGCGGACCGCGCGCTCGCGCTCAAGGACTTCACGATCGAGGCGTCGATCCTCAGGCGGCTCCGCCACCCGAACATCGTCATGCTCCTCGCGTTCTCCACGATCCGGGGGCGGGAGATCATCCTCTCGGAGCTCATGCGCTGCTCCGTGCTCGACGAGCTGCAGGCGCTCGCGCCGGGGAAGACGCTGCCGCGGCCGCGCGCGCTGCGCTGGGCGACGGAGATCGCGCGCGGCATGGCCTACCTCCACTCGTGCAAGCCGCCCGTGCTCCACCGCGACCTCAAGCCGGGGAATTTGTTGTTGGACGGGTCGGGGTCCTGCCGCATCTCCGACTTTGGGTTGGCGACGTTCCGCGCGGACAACCGCGCGTCGTCGCCGGACGGCGGGCCGGGCGAATCGTTCAGCGACCTCACGGGCGCGACGGGCTCCTACCGCTTCATGGCGCCCGAGGTCGCCCTCTCGAAGCCCTACGGCCGGCCCGTGGACGTCTACTCCTTCGCCATGATCCTCTACAACGTCTACGACTCCGTCGCGCCCTGGTACGGCGAGACGGGCAAGGCCGCGGCGAAGCACGCGATCCGCGGCGAGCGGCCGCCCATCCCCCGCGACTGGGACTCGAAGATCGGCGAGCTCCTCCGCCTCTGCTGGGCCCACGAGCCCTTCGAGCGGCCCTCCTTCGCCGCCGTGCTCGACCTCTTCGACGCCGCGCGCGACGCCGGCGTCGACGTCGAGGCCCCGCCGGGCCTCGGCAGCCCGCCGGCGGCGGCCGCGCGGGCTCTCCCGGGGCCCGACGCGACGCCCGCGACGAAGCCCTGCTGTGTTGTGATGTAAGGTATGTAGTGAATTTTCGTCGCCCTGCTGTGTTGTGTCGTAGCGTATGTAGTGAATTTTACGCGCGCGTCGGCGGGAGCGCGCGAGTCGGTGCGCTCTACTTTTGCGCGGTCGCCGTCGACGTCGCGCGCGCGATTCCCGCCTCCGTTCACGCGTCGGTTTCGAGCGCCCGTCGAATCGCCTCCTCCTCCAAAAGTTTCGACTTTCTTCGACGGACGCGGCCATCGGCGATCTGCGCGTGGTGGAGCTCCACACCGTGCTTGTACTTGGCGTTCTCGCCTGTAGGCGTGCAGGTCAAATGCGTCGCGCCTCGTCGCGCGCGGTGCGTCACGTACCATTTATTTTATCGAGATTTACGAGCGCAATGATGTAGAGGCCCATGATGATCATGCCCTCGAACATGATGGCGCCCCCGGGGTTCTGCGCCTCGTTGGTATTGACGAACGTGTCCGAGAGGGGCTCGGCGTGGTCAGGGGCTCGCGTCGGGTCGGTTTCGCGACTAGCTCGAGCGGCGCGGGCGCCCTAGGCAAGCTCTTGTGGAGATTTCTCAGCTCGCCAGGCTCGCCCTCGCAGGGGGTGGCTGAGGCCGGAGGGTGCTACCACCGCCGTGGCGGGCGCCTCAGCAAGACCCGGGCGCGACGTCACGATGACCCTTGAGAATCTCACGCAAGAGATCGCCGGACGGATCTTCGAAATGCTCGGCTTTCACCGCCGTCCGGTCGCCTCCGTGGTGTCGAAGTCCTGGTATGCCATGGACTCGCTGGCGGGCTCCCGCGCGCGCCACCGGGCGACGCTAGAGGCACGCGGCACCGGGGAAGAGTTCTTTGCTCTGGGTGTGTGTGCGCGGAGAAGCCCCCATTTCTTAGACTTAGTGGTGCTCGGTCGCGACCACGACCTCGTCGGTATATACCCGCACCCTTCTCACCTAATCCCCCCCGCCCCGGCGTTACCGGATCGCCTGGTCCTCCGGACGAACACGAATCAGGGCTTTCGGGGTGCCCATGTCGTCGTCATCGAAAAGTGGACGGGCCAAGTGCTCGTCTACAAGCACCCGCGAGAAGTCGCGCCGAACAGCCTGCCGCTCAGGAACATCGCCGTCGAGGACCTCGAGCTGCGCAAGCGGTACGAGGCGACGGGTCTTTTCCTCGGTCTCTCCAAATTATACCATAACGAAGGTCGGACGCGGATGCGTTGGGGCGACACTATCCTCCTCCAGCTACCCGCGACGATGGACGGCGCGAACCGCCTCGAGTACCACTACGTGTACATCGGCCTCGGCTCTATCTTTGAATTCGGCCCATTACCCGAGCCCGTGACGCGCTATTACTCCAACGTGGGCAACAATCACGCCATCTATCCAATCGCGATCACCGCAACGGACGCCATCTTCTTCAAAGCCTACGGGAAACCCGTGCGGATTTCGCGCGACGACTTGCTTCGCGAGCCCCGGTGCCTCACGGGGGGGCGGACCAACGAAGAGATCGTGGCGGAGTTCGGCGAATGCGGCTGGGAACTCATGATGCTACGCACGGGCGGCCCGATGTGGGGCCACACGGGAGGCGTCCACATTCTCCGCGCCTGCGACCGGGACGGCGCGACCGGCTTCCCCACGGTCGCGCAGGAGCCCCTCATGGCCCAATTGACGCCGGAAGAACGCGCAGAGGTGGCGAGGAGGGTGGCTCTGAGTTTCAATAGTTTGTTTCAAGGCTAGAAAACCAGAGTTAAGCGCCCCTTGGAAAGTCACCTCGTCGTGTTCCGGGGCTCGGGCCGGTTCGAGGGCCGCCGGGGCCCGCCCGCGGAGACGCTCGCCGCGGGCTCGGCGACGGTGATGGCGAGCGTGGGCTCGGGCCGGCGCGGCCGCGGGTTGCGCGACTTGCGGCCCGGCGCTTTCGGCGTGGACTTGGGCGGCAGCGCGGGCGCGGCGACGTCGTCGGCCGGCGGCGGGCCGTCGGAGCCGTCGGCCGCCGCGTCGCGGAGGAGGAGCGCCGGCGACGCCTCGCGCAGCAGGCTGTAGGGCGGCCGCCCCGCGGGCAGGTCCTGCTCGAGGCCGCTGAGCGTCTGCCAGGTCACCTTGCCGCGCGCGCCCGCGCGCCCGACGGAGACGACCGCGTCGTCGTCGCCGAGCGCCCGCTTCGCCACGGCGTCAAAGTCGGCGACGGTGGCCCGCCGGTCCACGACGGCCTCGATGACGTGGTTGTCGCCCGCGCGCATCAATAGCACGATCGCGCACGTGCCCTCGTCGCCCGCGTCGTCGAAGCCCTTCGGGTCGATCTGGAGCGCGACCTCGCCCGCGTCGCTCTCCATGTCCGGGATGGCCTTCTTCAGCGTCATCGTGTCCCGGAGCTGCTTGCCCGCGTAGCGGCTCTTGGGCTGGCGCTCGCGGAGGCGGACGCGGCGGATGTCGACGGTGTCGAAGGCCGACAGCGCGTTCGCGAGGCGCTTCGGCACGGGCTTGACGAGGCCGTCGGCCATGTCGCTCAGCTTCTCGGCGACCAAACTCCGCAGGTCGCGCACCGTGGCCTGCTCGTGGGCGACGACGCGGACGCCGCTCGAGAAGGAGTCGTGCGGCGCGTGCGTCGCGGCGATCTTCGCGTCGTAGAGCAGCAGCTTCACGCCGAAGAAGCCCGGCTCCCGGGGCGGGCCGGGCAGCATGACGCAGGTCGTCGGCGGCGTCGCCCGCTTGACGCCGGCGTCGCGCAGCGTCGCGGCCTCGTCGACGCGGCGCGCCGCGCGGCGCTCGGGGGGCTTGACGTGGTACTCGTCCGCGGCCTTGAGGTCGAGCAGGTGGATCGCCGCGTGCTTGAGGTCGCCCAACGTCCACGTCGCCGCGGCCTCCAGGGTCACCTCCCGGTCCGGCGCCGCGTCCGCCGGCGCCGCCTCGCCCGGCGCGGCGGCCTTGAGGACGACGCGGACGGCCAGCGCGTTCCGCCGCCGCGACAACGCGGCGACGACCTCGCAGACCGGCGGCGCCTCGGGCCCGCTCACCAGCAGCTCGTCGCCGCCGAAGAGGCGCGCGTCGCGGTCGACGGCGAGGGCGTCGACGCCGTCCATGTCCGTGCGCAGCCGCGCGACGTTCGCGGGCTCCAGATCCGCGGGCTCGAGGCCGAGCGCGCGCGCGACGGCACCGGCGATGCCCTCCGCCGAGTCCTGGGCCGTCCCCGAGAGGCGCACGTCGCGGCAGGTCAACCCCGCGGCCTCGAGGTCGTCGTCGGACGCGTTGTTGAGCGCGGCCGCGGCGAGCCGCGCGTCGCCGCCCGCCCAGACCCGGAGCGCGAGCGTGGCCGCGCGCGGGTCGAAGTGGCCGAAGGGCGGGTCGTCGCGCTTCCGCGTCTCCAACACGAGGTCCGCCGCCGGGGCTAAACCCAGCGCCTCCAGCGACGACGTGTCGTCCTTGGACCGGAACGTCTTGCCGCCCGACTTGCGCGCCGGGTCCCAGACCCGGAGCCGCCGGAGCGCGGGCGCGTTGCCCGCGGCGTCGCCGGCGCCGCACTTGGCGAAGGCCGCCGACGCCGCCCGGTCCAGGGTCCAGGCCTTCGAGGCCCAGAGGACGACGGGCGGGCCGTGGGCCTTGCCCGTCTTCCGGCGGACCGACAGCTTCGTCGCGCGTTTCCGGATGGACTCGACGCGCGCGTGGCGCTCGCGCTGGGCGTCCTCGACGGCGACGGCGGCCATCTCCGAGTCCGGCGGGAAGGCCTCGTCCCGCGGGGGCAGGGCGTTCCGCGCGTAGAGCACGAGGCACGCGGCGCCGTCGCGCTTCCGCGGCGGCGCGGGCGCGTCCTCGAGGCCCCCGGCCCCGGCGCTCGTCTCGGGCTTCGGCGGCGTCACGGGGTCGTCGCTCGCGCCGCGCCCGAGAAGCTCGTCGACGTCGCCGGGCTCGAGGAAGCCCACGCGCGCGTCGTCGCAGCGGCGCCAGCGGCCGTCACGCGCGGCGTGCGCGACGTAGTGCCCCCCCGACGCCGTGCCCCTGTGGTCGACGACGCATCTGAGCGCGTAGTCCGTCGCGCCCTCGACGCCGTCGTGGATCCAGTGCCCGACGTCGAGGTGCTCCGGGATCGCGAAGGGGCCCTCGACCTTGACGCGCGCGCCGTCCACGAAGCGGACCCGCGAGAGCCCGAGGAGCAGCACCTCGGGGATCGCGGCCATGGTCGCCCGCTTGATCGCGGGCACCTTGCGCCCTAGCGCGTCGCAGTGCCAGGCGTCGTCGCCCTCGAGGCTCTCGAAGCCGTGCGCGCGGCCCATCGCCGCGCCGACGTCGTCGCCGCCCGCGCGGACGCAGAGCGGAACGACGCGGAACGGCTCGCTCGCCTCGCGCTTTACGAGTGCGCCGTCGCCGTCCAGGCGGTCCTCCTCCGCCGACGGCGTCAGCGTCTCGACGCGCGTGCCCCCGAAGACGCGCCGCGCGTCGTCCCGGAGGGAGGTCGCGTCGAGCGCGTCGAGTAGGAGCGTGAGCAGCTCCGCGGCGTCGTGCTGGTGCCGCAGCTGGCCCGCGTCCCAGCCAAAGGCCACGGTCAGGGGCCGGGCGGAAACGGCCGACGCGTTGCCGCTCTGGGCGAGGCGCGCGAACAACCGCTGGAACTGGAGCGGGATGCACCGGACCTCGCGGCCGTCGCGCGCCTCGTCGTAGCGCCACGCCAAGACGGCGTCGCGCCAGGGCTCGACGGCGAAGAGCGCCTGGAGCAGCGCGTTCAAATAGCACGTCGACGACTCGTTGTGCAGGCCCACGCCCGCCGAGTTGTCCTCGGAGAAGTGGCTGCTCTCGATGGTCTCCACGCCGCCCTCGACGCGCGCGTCGAACTGGACGAGGAACTCGAGGTCGCCGTCCGTCAGCGGGCTGCTCGGCCGCAGCGTCGACGCCGCCGCCGCGCCGCTGCCGGCGACGGCCAGCATGGTGTTTTTGGCGTCTGGGCTGCGTTCTAGCAGGCAGGCATCGATCGGTTTGCTCACGTTTGAGCGTGTTGGGCAGCGGCAAGTAAATTACACGTGGATCTTACCGTTCAAAGGCAGCGATTCGAAGCTATCCAAATCTCGCGCCAATCTCTCCGAAGCGCTCTCTGTCGGCAGCCGCACCGCCGCGTTCAGTGCTCGAGTGCCCCACGCGCCTCGAAACACACCGCGCGCACCCACGCAAGCCACCGCAAACGCGTCGCGCACCGGAGCTCGCGCGTCTGCACGCCTCAGCACCTCCACGTCGCCGGACGGTTTCATCATCGCCGCAGCGCCTCCACGTCGCCGGACGGTTTCATCATGTCGTCGCCGAGCCCGAAGAAGCGCTGCCCGAAGCCCTGGCGGCCGCTCTTCGCGGCCGGGTCGCGCGTCGAGTGCCGCCACGGCGGCGGCGACGTCTTCTACCCCGGCGTCGTCACGGCCGTCACGAGCGACGGCCACTACGACGTCGACTACGACGACGGCGACGAGGAGCGCGGCGTCGCGGGCTCCCTCATGCGGCCCGAGGCGGGCCTCAAGGTCGGCGACGCGCTGCAGAAGAAGTTCCCGGGCTACGGCAGCGGCGTCTTCGACGGCCGCGTCGCGGAGATCTTCCCCGCGGAGAAGAAGGTCCGCGTCGCCTGGTCCGACGGCGAGGAGACGTTCATGACCGTCGCGGCCGTGCGCAAGGCCATGGACCACCCGCCGTCGCCCGCGAAGCCGGTCAAGCGCGCCGCGGCGTCGGCGCCGCCCGCGCCGCTGCCGGCCCTCGAGGCGGCGGGCGGCCGGCCGAAGCGCGCGCGCAAGGCGCCGCCGGCGCTCACGTACGCGAAGATGGGCACGAACACGTCGTCCGCGAAGAAGCGCGCGGCCTGGGACTCGGAGGAGGACGCGTCCATCTCGTCGTCCGACGAGTCCGCCAAGCCCCGGCGCAAGCGCGCGGCCGCGGCGCCGAAGAAGAAGAAGCAGGCGAAGAAGGCCGACGCCGACGACGAGGCCGACGCGGGCGCGTCGAGCGACTCCGAGGACGAGTCCTCGGACGACGCCTCCTCGGAGGACGAGCAGCCCAAGCGCAAGCGCACGGCCGCGGCGGCGAAGAAGAAGGCGCCGGCGGCGAAGAAGAAGGCCGCGGCGGCGCCCGAGCGGCCGCTCACGGAGGCGGAGAAGGGCACGGCGGGCAAGCCGACGGCGGGCCTCGCGCCGCCCATGGCCGGCCAGTACTCCGGCGAGTACCGCTTCGCCATCGGCACCGTCGTGAGCGTCAAGTGCACGTCGACGGGCCGCTGGGTCCGCGGCCACGTCATCATGCACCTCCGCGGCGGCGTGACGACGTTCTACGCCGTCGAGAAGGCGCGGTGCCTCTTCGAGCGCATGCAGGGCAAGAACCAGCACTACGAGGACGTCGACGTGACGACCCAAAAGGCCGCGGCGGCCTGCGTCGTCGCTTTGGACGAGCCGCCGCGCGAGGTCCGCAAGTGGACGTCGGGCACGCCGTGCATGCGCGCGTCGAACCTCGAGCACGCGGCCGCGGTCAAGGACGCGCCCTTCGACCCGTCCCTGGGCTTCGGCGCGTCCAAGCTCCGGACGAAGCAGTCGACGGGCAAGTTCTCCGGCGGCGCCGACGCCGCCGCGGGCCTCGACGAGGCCGAGGTCAAGGCGAAGGCGCACCTCGCCGCGGGCCGCGTCGGCGAGGCCCAGGTCCTCGAGTGCCTCACGTGCCTCGGCGACAAGTGGCCGACCCAGGACCGGCCGAACGTGACGCCCGACGGCAAGCCCGTCCACGGCATGTGCCTCGGCGCGGTCTTCGTCCTCGGCGGCGTCGGCATGGCCTGCTCGAACGTGAGCGAGCACTACCCGGAGCTCACGACGCTCGTGACCAAGTGGGTGACGACGACGCTGCCCGAGGACTTCCCCTTTAGCAGCCTCCAGATCAACTACAACTACCGTCCGCGCCCCCGCGTCCCTGTATTTTGCCTCGCGACGCTCGAGTCGCTCTTCTCTCGCAGGCGCGCGGAAGCACGTCGACGGCAACAACATCGGCCCGTCCTACATCCGCGCCATCGGCGACCACAGCGGCGGCCAGGGCAGCAAAAGGGTGATTCAACGTCGCTTCAACGTGAGTGTTCCGCGCGCGCGCGTTTCGGAAACAGCGCCCATGCTTCGAGAGCGCTCCGAGAGATGATCGCTCGTCCAAAAATCAGCCGAAACGAGCGGAAAACGACCGAGATAGGAGCCTTTGAAGTTGGGAATTTCGCACCCGTTTGCTGCCCAGGCGGCGGCGAGCTCTGGACCGCGGACAAGTTCATCGTCACGACGGACGACGACGGCAAGCCGCTCGTCAAGGGCGGCGGCGGGCCGGACACGCTCGACTGCAAGAAGGAGTGGATGCTCTTCAACGGCAACGAGGAGCACGAGACGCGGCCCTACTTCGCGGGCAAGGGCGCCAAGCCGGGCACGAAGGGCGGCACGCGCATCTCCTTCATCGCCTTCAGCCACCAGGCCTACAACAAGCTCTCGACGTCCGTCGCGACGCGCCTCAGGACGCTCGGCTTCACCGCGTGCTCCGACGACGGCGTCGACCTGCCCTACTTCACCAAGTACCGCATCGACAAGAAGGAGTTCGACGCCGACGAGAACGTCAAGTACTTCCGCTACCAGCGCAAGCGCGCGATCGAGCTCCCGCCGCCGACGAAGAAGAACGCCGTGTCCGTCGAGTGCTACGGCCTCACGATGGCGCGCGGCGGCGGCTGGATGTCCCACTGCGACGCCGCGGCGACGCGCACGGTCCACGAGCTCACGCCGAACATGACGGGCTTCCACGTGCTCCACCTCGACGCCTCCGGCGCCGCCGGCGTCGCGCTCGTCGAGTCCCACGTCGACAAGAAGCGCTTCAACATCTACGCGAAGACGGACCCGGAGACGGACCGCTTCGCCAAGTTCGTCAAGGGCCTCAAGCCCAACGCCGTCGTCGCCGTCTGCATCACGGACACGGCCGTCGCGGCGAAGCGGCCCCCGGGCAAGAAGCTCTACGACGCGCTCGTGAGCCTCGGCGCGCCCGAGAACATGGAGAAGATCGGCTACCGCTTCCCCTTCGCCTTCCTCGGCGTCAAGGGCGCGAAGCCGGGCTCCGCCGTCGTCCTCATGGACAAGACCAAGTTCCTCCTCCGCATCGACGCGACCGTCGTCACCGCGAAAGACGGCACCGTCACGCTCGCGGACGTGACCGAGGAGAAGACGGACATCACGACGAAGGTGATCCTGTCCAAGAACCACGGCGACGAGGGTTAGGCCGTCGGTCGTACACTAAGCACCCCCTGATTGTGCGCTGGCGCTCCGCGCATGCTTGACAGCGCTAAAGTCAGCGCTAGCGGACGGAATTGATTGAAGTAGTGGCTGTCAGTTTCGGGATTACGTACCCGAGTATCAACCAAAGTTTCTCTTTGCACTGTTTTTTCAAGTGATCAGAAAAGGAATGGCCCCACCTTCGTGAGGCTGCCCCCGGTGGGACTTGCGTGCACGGGGTCGCGACCGGTGGCGATGCAACGGTAGTGCATCGTTCGGTGGAGATCGCGGCCGGCGGCACTCGCCGCGCGCCTCCCGGTGCCCCCCGCGCCGCCCCGCCCGCGCGCGGCCGCCCCGACCGGCGTCGGCGCGCCGCCGCGCCATGGCCTGCGTGCTGCGCTTCTGCGCCGCGCGGCCGAAGCACGAGGACAACTACTACGAGGAGGAGGAGCCGGACTTCGGCCGCGACGAGCCGAGCGCGGGCCTGGGCGCGAGCGACGGCCGGCAGCACCGCGCGTCGACGGTGAGCCTCGTGCCGCCGTGGACGACGGGGCGCCTCGTCGTCGAGGTGCTCGGCGCCAAGGGCCTGGCCGCCGTCGACGAGAACGGCTTCAGCGACCCCTTCGTGACCGTGCGCCTCGCGACGCCCGGGTCCGGCGCGTCGCTGCCGAAGCCGCACGACAAGCTGCACCGCACGGCGACGGTCATGGAGTGCCTGAACCCGCGCTACAAGCAGGAGCGCTTCGTCTTCGACGACCTGCGGTCCCCGCTCCCGGACGTGCGCTTCGAGGTCTACGACTACTCGCCGGGCCTCTTCGGCGAGAAGGCCGAGCCGCTCGGCCAGTGCGTGCTGTCGCTGGCGAACCACTGGAAGCAGACGGGCGGCGACGTCGTCGACGGGCCGAGCAGGGCCGAGTGGCACACGCTCGAGCCCCTCGTGCTCGGGCGGCGGTCCAAGGCGAACCAGACGTCGCGGTCCGACTGCGGCGAGCTCGAGGTCCGCGTGACGCTGCGCCGCGGCACGGGCGACATGCAGGAGGACGCCGTCGCCGAGGCCGACGCCGCGCGCTGGTTCGTCGACGAGTCGTCGAATAGCGGCGACGGCGAACTGCGCCACGCGGAGCACGCGGCGAACACGCTCCAGGTCGCCGTCGTCCGCGCGATCAACCTCATCGCCGCGGACAGCGCGCTCTTCGGCGGCAAGTCGGACCCGTTTGTGACGCTGAGCGTGGGCAGCTTCAAGTGCAAGAGCCGCGTCGTGCGCAAGAACCTGAACCCCGTCTGGATGCAGACCTTCGACGTGCCCTTCCAGTGGGACGGCGGCGTGCCGCCCGCGCTCAACGTCTTGGTCGAGGACTGGGACTTCGGGTCGTCGCCGGACTTCCTGGGCAAGTGCCAGGTCCAGCCCATCTCGCTGCCCAAGTGCGCCCCCGACGGCGCGGCGCCGGCGACGTGGTACACGCTCGAGGGCGACGACGACGACGACGACGGCGGCGACGCCGTGGACCGGGGCCAGGTCCAGCTGGCCATCAAGATGGTCTACGACCCGGCCAACGACCCGAGCGAGGACCGGCCCTTCTTCGACGAGCCCATCGACGAGAAGTCGGCGGCCAAGGACCCCAACGAGCTCCGCGTGGCCATCTGCCGCGCGACGGGCGTCAAGCTGTGTGGAAATCAACCAGTGAGCTGGGTTATCCCAGCCAAACTTCAGAACTCTCTATCTCGATCAAATCGAAGTCGATTCGGCTGACTTTTGGACGAATCGATTGCTCTCATCGAGTTCTCGAAGCTCAGCCAAAAATTCCGGCGCAATTCGTTCAATTACGCGCACATTGAAGTCGTGTTGAAGATTTGATTTCCACACAGGCGTCAAGGCGATGGACGTCCCCATGCCCTTCTCGTCCAAGCCCGCGTCGTCGGACCCCTACGTCGTCTGCCGGGCCGCGGGGCGGCCGGACCGCAAGACGAAGACGCGACTGGCGACGCTGTCGCCCGTCTGGAACGAGGTGCTGACCTACGACCTCCACTCCGAGGACCTGTCGCAGACCGGCAAGTCGCTCAAGGACGCCAAAATCGAGCTCGTCATGTGGGACTGGGACCGGCTCGACAGCGACGACTTCATGGGCAAGGTCGCCATCCCCCTGGCGCCCTTCGCCGCGTCCCAGAAGGCGAAACGGGGCTGGTACAAGCTCGCGGGCGACAAGGCCGCGGCCGACGGCGACGGCGCGCTCGCGGGCGACGGGTCCCTGGGCCAGGTGCTCGTCGTGGTCCAGTGGCGCTACAACCCGGCCTTAGATTTCGCGCCCCTCGAGGAGGCCGACGACGGCGGCCTCGCGCACCCGGCGAACGAGCTCCGCGTCGCGCTCTATAGAGGCCGCGGCCTCGCGATCAAGGACAAGAACATGTTCTCCGAGGGCGGCTCGAGCGACCCGCGCGTCATCTTCCGGGTCATGGACGGCACGCAGGAGCTCGCCAAGTGGCTGAGCGGCACGCGGACGAAGACCCTGGACCCCGTCTGGCGCGAGACCTACGCGAAGGAGCTCCGGGCGGACAAGGTCAACGCGACGTCGAGCGATCTGGTGCTGCGGTGCATGTGCGAGGACGTGGACCTGACGTCGACGGACTACATGGGCCAGTTCGACGTCCGCCTCGACGCCGTGTTGAAGGACCGGCCCAAGGTCACGGGCGGCTGGCACGCGCTCCAGGCGGGCGAGACGACGTTCAGCCAGGGCACGTCCGCGGGCGACATCACGGGCGAGATCCAGCTGAGCCTCCAGTGGCGCTTCAACCCGGCGCTCGACTTCGACCCCTGGGTCGGCGACGCGTCGGACGTGGCGTCGCGGCCGCCGAACGAGCTCCGCGTGGCGCTCATCCGCGCGCGCGATCTCGACTCGGGCAAGGCCGGCGTCTTCGCGGCCGCGACGGCGAACCCCTTCGTGCGCTTCTCGCTGACGGGCGCCGCCGAGGTCGAGCCCTGGCGGTCCACGACGAAGAAGCGCACGCTCGAGCCGAGCTGGTGCGAGACCTGGTGTTTGCCGTTGGAACGCGAGCCGACGGGCGACGAGGTCCTCGAGGTCTGCGTCGAGGACGACTCGCTCACGTCGCAGCGCGAGACGGACCTGGGCCACGTGAGCGTCGCCGTCGGCGCCTTCGCGCTGAAGCACGGCCGCGACCGCGCCTGGCACGCGCTGACGCCGCCCGCGGGGCGCCGCGTCGGCGAGTCCGGGCCGGGCGCCGTCGAGCTCGTCGTCAGCTGGGTCCACAGCGCCGCGCACGACTTCGACCCCTGGGAGCACGGCCACGCGGCGAACTCGACGATGACGCTGCCGAACGAGCTGCGCCTCGGGCTCGTCGCGGGCCGCGACGTCGGCGTCAGGGACCCGAAGGTCGTCTTCCACGTCGACGGCGCGGCCGACGGGCCGCTCGACTTCTCGAGCCGCGCGTCCAGGGGCACGCACCCGGTCTGGTGCGAGGCCTTTGCTTTGCCCATGACCATGGGCGAGGAGGCGCCGTCGCTCGTCGCGACGCTCGACGACGGCACCGTGAAGAAGCGCGCCGTCGTGCCGCTCGACGCGCTCGGCGACGGCGTCAAGCGGAAGCGCGCGTGGCACAAGCTGCGGCTCGAGGGCCACAAGAGCGACGAGGAGAAGGAGACGGACGGGGCCCTCCAGCTCATGATGCACTGGATCTACAACCCCGCGCTCGCGTTCGCGCCGTTCGGGCCCGAGCCCGCGGCCGCGCGCGCGAAGCCGCCGAACACGCTCCGCGTGGGCCTGGCCCAGGGCCGGGGCCTCGCGCGGCGGCCAGCCGACGCCTACGTGCGGGGCAAGGCGCTGCGCCTCCGCGTGCGCTTCGCCGTGACGGGCACGGACGCGGTCGCGGCGTCGACGACGCGCGACGCGCCCGGCTTCTCGCCGGCGTGGTGCGAGACCTTCGACCTCGCCTACGCGGCCAAGGCGCCGTCGACGTCGCCGACGAAGAAGGACCTGGCGCCCCTCGTCCAGCTCGAGTGCACCGTCGAGGGCTTCGGCAGCGGCGACGCGGCCGCGCCCGTCGGCTACGCGAAGATCCCCATCGACGACCTCCGCGCGAACAAGGGCGCGCCGAGCCGCAAGTGGTACGCGCTGGTCCAGGACGGCGACGGCCCCGCCGGCGAGCTCGACCTCGTGCTCCAGTGGAGGTATCAGCCCCACGCGGACCCCTGGCACGAGCCCGCGGCCGCGAGGCCCACGGGCGCCGCCGCGCTCGCGGCCGCGCTCCTGCCGAAGAGGGACGACCTCGTCGCCTTCGAGCTCCACACCGACGAGGTGGAGATGTCCATTGTGGAGAAAGAGGCGAGCTCCGCGGCACCTTTCGCCTTCTAGCAGACGGCGGCCGCGAAACGAGTTCCGATGTAACTGTATCTTGCTTCTCACGCATGTCGCTAGAGCATGTCGCTGCGTCGAGACAGCGACCCTCGCTCGAGATCACGGCCCGCCGCGACGACCCCGGACCCGCCCGAATGACCCTCCGCCGCGCCGACCTCGGGTCACAACTTCTTCCAGGAGCCTCCTCTAACGCCGAGGCGTCGAGAACCATCTTTCAAGGGCCCTCCTTAGGCAGGCCGCTCAGGCGCGTCGTCGTCTCCGCGTCCCCCAGGCGCCCCGGCAGCGGCGCGGTCTCGACGCCCAGGCTCGCCTTGGTCAGGTTCACGACGTTCGACATGAGCATGGCGATGGTCATGGGCCCGACGCCGCCGGGCACGGGCGTGATGAGCGACGCGACGTCCTTCGCCGCGTCGAAGTCCACGTCGCCCACGAGCCGGTAGCCCCGCTTCGCCTCCGGGTCGTCGACGGCGTTGATGCCGACGTCGACGACGACGCAGCCCGGCTTGAGCCACGACGCCTCGACGTAGCGCGCGCGCCCCACGGCCGCCACCACAATGTCCGCGTCGCGGACGACGGCCGCGACGTCGGGCGTCGCCGAGTGGCACACGGTCACCGTCGCGTCGCAGGCCTGGAGCAGCGCCGCCACGGGCATGCCCACGATGTTCGACCGCCCGAGCACGACGGCCCGCTTCCCCGCGAGCGGTACGCCGTGGCGCCGGAGCAGCTCGACGCAGCCCGCGGGCGTGCACGGCATCGCGAGCGGCGGCGGCCCGCCCTGCATGACGAGGCGCGCGACGTTCGTCTCGCTGAAGCCGTCGGCGTCCTTGCGGAAGTCGATGGCGCCGAGCACGCGGCCCTCGTCGACGTGCGCGGGCAGCGGCAGCTGCACGAGGATGCCGTGGACGTCCGGGTCCGCGTTCATCGCCTCGACGGCGGCCAGGATCTCCGCCTCCGACGCCGTGTCGGGCAGCAGGGCGTCGACGCAGTGCACGCCGATCTCCGCCGCGACCTTCTGCTTCATGCGCACGTAGGTCTGGCTGTCGCGCCGCTCGCCGACGAGCACGACGCCGAGACCCGGCGTGACGCCGTGGGCGGCCCTGAGCGCGTCGACGTCGCGGCCGAGCTCCGCGCGGATGGCCTTGGCCGTCGCGGCGCCGTCGAGGATGTTGACGCCCTGGACGGCGGCCATGGCCGCCGTCAGCAGCGCGCGGCCGCCGAGGGCCGCCGCGGCGAGGACCGTCGGGCGCCACCGCATCGTCGCGGCCACGAGGGATGCCGTGGCTGCGAGGCGCTGCGGCGAACTGTGCAGGCGCGCAGGCCTTTTGACGCTCGACTCAGGTCTTTTCGCCGCTCGATTTACGGTCTTCGGCGCGCGAATCGGGTCTTTTTAGCACCTCGATTAGCACCCCATGCTCGCCACCGCGAGTGCGAGGTCGGAGGAGCCGGGATGGTGAAGCTCGACTTTCTCGGACTGCCGAGCAAAGCGTGTGACGCCGATGCGTGGAATGGCGAAGTAGGACGTGGTCTAGAGCATAACTCGTACCACGCGCATCGCCTACATCAACCAGACAAGCATCAACAGCATCGACACCAACAGACCCCTTGCCGCTAACAGAAGCACCCGCTAACCACCTCGCGAAACCTCCGCGACAGAAACCATGATAACCACCCCCTTCCTGCTCGCGCTGCTCCCCGCCGCCGCCTACGGCGCGGCGTCGGACTGCGAGTTCCGGCGCGAGGCCGGCTGGACCGACTTCGACGAGGAGTTCGAGGACGGCCACACCTACATGTGGCTGGGCCTGTCGCGCGACGACGGCTGCGCGGACCTGCACTGCGACGCGGCGACGGGCGCGCTGTGGCTCGCGGTGCACCACCGCTTCGGCGTCAAAGAAACCGAGCCGACGAGCAAGGGCCACAAGGTGTCGCGGTCGTCCTACTGCATGGTCCTCGCGGAGGACGGGCGCTACGCGCGCTACGGGCGCGCGCAGATGAAACAGCGCGAGGAGCGGTTCATGTGGCGCGAGCGGCGCCGCGAGAACTGGCAGGACGTCGGCCCCGCGGTCCCGGCCTCGGAGACGACGGAGGTTTTGGTGGCCTCGGACTGGGGCGCGGACCAGTACGCCAGCTGCCTCTACGACTACTGCGAGACGACGTGCGACGCTTTGGCCGCGCGCGACGCGGGGACCGCGGACGCGGCGGCCTACGACGACCTGTTTTCGCGACTCACGACGGGCACCGAAAACATCGACGCGGCGCCAAAGTCGTGCTTCGACGACGACGACGACTGGTGGTGGTACTTTGGGTGGATCACGACCGCGCACGCGTTCTGGATCGTCGGCTGCGCGTGTAGCGTCCTGCTGCCCTGGTACCTCGGCTGCTCCGTGTCCAACGCCTGCTGCCCCTTGTTCGCGCAGCTCAACGCGCTGCGCAACGAGTTCGCGGACTCGTGCCCCTGCCTGCACCGCTGGCTCACGTTCTGCTGCGTGCGGTGCTGCGTGTGGTTTTCGTCCGCCTGCGCGTGCTGCGCCTGCTGCTGCGGGCGCAAGAAGGACGCCCGGACGGCCGACGACGCCGCGCCGTCGGAGGAGGCGAACGCGCGGGATCTGGAGCTCGTCGTGACGATGCAGCCCGAGGCCGGCGAGGCGGCGGCGGGTCCCGTCGCGGCGTCGACGAGGTCGCGGGGCGCGGCCCTGAAGGCGCGGTCGGCGGGCCCCCAGTTCAAGCTCCTGCTCTGGAAGATCGCCACGGTGAAGAAGCGCGACGGCGCGGGCCTCTTCAAGCAGCTCCTCTGCCCGGCGCTGACCTTCGCGGTCATCTGGATGCTCTACGTCACGGCCGGCATCACGGGCATGTCCCCGTCGGCGCGGTGGAACAAGAACAACATGAACTACGCTCGAAAAGACGGCAAGATGCACGACTACGACAAGGGCCAGTTCCTGAGCCACGGCATGCTCGAGCTCTTCCTCGGCTTCCTCGGGTTCATCCCCTTTGTGCAGGTCGTCGCCGTGTCGATCGTCAACGAGCACCAGGCGAAGCTCGTCGAGGCCATGAAGATGGCGGGCCTGCGGCCGCCGGTCTACTGGCTCGCGAACTTCGTCGCCGAGGGCGTGGCCTGCGGCGGCGTCGCGGCGCTGCTCGTCGCCGTCGTCGCCGCGCCGGGCCTCTTCCGCTTCGCGGGCCACGCGACGAACCCGTTCCTCGTGCTGCTGGGCCTCCACTGGATCTACCTCATCGCCCTCGTGTCCGTGGCCTTCGCGGCGACGGCGTTGGTGCCCTCGGGCTTCGTCGCGTCCCTCTTCGCCGTGCTCTCGCAAGTCTCGGGCCTCGTCTGCTACTTCGTGGGCGCGTGGCAGAAGACCGACTCGGGGAGCGTCATCTCGACGTCGATCTGGACCAAGTCCGTCGCCATCCAGCGCTGGTACGCCCTCAACCCGCAGTGGGCCTACCAGCTCATCGTCCACTCCTTCATGTCGAACCGCGCCAAGCACTGCCGCGTCACCGCGTCGCTCGCCGGCGTCGAGGATTTCGCGTCGCACGCCTACGAGTGCACGTGGCGCGATATGAATGTCGACGACGCCAAGTCCGACGCGAAAAGGGAGCTCGCGGCCTGGCTCGTCGACGCCGGCGCCTACTGCGCGAACCGGGTCTACGACTATTCCTACTCCTACGAGGACCCGGGCGCGGCCGAGGGTCTGGCGGAGGCGACGTGCGCCGTCAGCGGCCCGTTCTCGAAGCACCGGTCCTTCTACTCCAAGTCCGACGAGGGGCCCTGGTGGCCCCGGCCCCAGTGGACGGGGAGCCTCTTCGGCATGCTCCTGCTGGACATCGTCCTCTTCCTGGTCCTGGCGTGGTACTTCTCGCAGTGCGTGCCCTGGTCGGAGTACGGCACGCCCAAGCCCTGGTACTTCCCGCTCCAGCCGTCCTACTGGTGCGCGAAGAAGCCCAAGGAGGAGGTCACGGACGAAGAGGAGGCCCACGACCCGGCGGCGGGCTTCCCCGAGGCCTACGAGCCCCTCGGCGGCGGCAAGGCCGCCGTCGTCCGGGTCCGGAACCTCCGCAAGACCTTCGGCGACTTCCGCGCGGTCGACGGCGTGAGCTTCGACATGGTCGAGTCGGAGATCTTCTGCCTCCTGGGCCACAACGGCGCGGGGAAGACGACGACGATCTCCATGCTCTCCGGGCTCACGCCGCCGGACCGGGCCGCGGCCGGCGCGCCGCCGGCCGCGGCCGTCTACGGCTTCGACGTCGGCGACGCGGACGCCATGCGCGACCTGCGGCGCAACCTCGGCGTCTGCCCCCAGCACGACATCCTCTTCCAGCACCTGACGCTGGAGGAGCACGTCGCGTTCTTCGGGCGGCTGAAGGGCAAGTCGAAGGACGCCGCGGAGCGCGACGCCGCGGCGCTCCTCCGCGTCTTCCACCTCGGCGACCGGTCCCACCACCTGGGCTCGGAGCTGAGCGGCGGCCAGAAGCGCAAGCTCAGCGTGTCCATCGCGCTGAGCGGCCACTCGAAGTTCGTCGTGCTCGACGAGCCGACGGCGGGCATGGACCCCGTCGCGCGGCGCGAGTTCTGGACGTTGCTGCGGTCCGTGCGGCTCCGGCGCGCGCTCCTCCTGACGACGCACCACATGGACGAGGCGGAGGCGTTGGGCGACCGCGTGGCCATCATGGCGAGCGGCAAGGTCAAGGCCGACGGGTCCATCGACTTCCTCAAGCGGCGCTTCGGGAGCGGCTACCGCCTCGCGTTCCGCTGCGGCGACCGCGTCGCGGCGGAGCGCGCCGTCCTCGAGGCCGTGCCCGGCGCGACGGCGGAGGACCTGACGGAGGCGGCGCACCTCGGCATCCACGACGCGGCGAACGCCGCGCGCTTCGAGCGGCTCCGGTCCGAGAGCCGCGAGCGGTCCGGCTCCTACGACTCGCCGCGGTCGTCGCCGCGGACGCCGCGGCGGACGCTCGAGGACGAGGCGAGCGCCGTGTCGCCGCTCCTCGGCGCCGCGGACCGCGCGGAGGTGGAGGCCGACGCGCTCGCCTTCGACGTCGCCTTCGGCGACCGCGACCGCCTGCCGGCGCTCTTCGACGCGTTGCGGAATTTGGAGAAGCCGCCGACGGACGTCGCCTTCTCGTCGACGACGCTCGAGGACGTCTTCCTCGCCGTCGGCGAGGACCAGGCCGTCCACAACATCACGAAGGTCAACTCGCAGCGGTCGTCGTACGACTTGTACGCCGAGGCCGCGGCCGACGACGGCGTCGCGGACGAGCCCCGGGGCTGGTCGCTGGGGCGCCACCTCGGCGCCGTCGCGGGTCTACGGCTGCGTCTCGCGCGCAACGACTGCGCCGTGCTGCTCTGGCCGCTCATGGTCGTCGAGGCCGCCGCCGCGGCGCTCGCGAAGCCCGTTCTGGGCGCGCGGACGTCGCTGCCGCCGCTCGCGGCGCTCCGCGCCAAGTACGTCGGCGGCGGCCGCGCGCCCGTCGTCTGCCTCGTGCCGGCGCTCACGTCGCTCGTGCTCTGCGCGCTCATGCAGCGGGGGAAATTGGTCGTGGGCAAGAACCCGAAGTGGTCCGAGCTGCCGAACGTCTTGGTCGCCATGGGCCTCGGTTTGGTCTGGATGCTCGTGCCGGGGCTTTTGGCGGAGCCCATCGTCCGCGAGCGCAAGCTGCGGCTGCGGAACTTGCTGGCCGTGAGCGGGCTCGACGTCCGCGCGTACTGGCTCGGCAGCGTCCTCGGCGACGCGCTGCCCCTCGCGCTCGGCGTCGGCGTCGCGTGGCTCGCGCTCGGCGCCTACCACATCTCCTACCGCGTCGAGCAACAGACGCCGAAGATGGTCCTCAACGGCACGCGCTACGACTACTTCTGCGACCCGGCGTCGGGCTACTGGGACGACGACTTCTGCCAGGACGAGTCCTTCGACCGCCGCGAGTGGCTCGAGACGTCCTGGCTCTTCGCGGTGTACCCCTGCTTCGTGCTGGCGCTGTTGGGCTTCGCCCATTTCGGGTCCTACGCCTTCGCGGACCCGAACGTCTGCGTGGGGGCCTTCCCCGTGATCGTGCTCGGCCTCGTCGTCGTCCCGCTCATCCTCGTCATCTTCCTCGCGCTGGCCTTCGGCGGCCTCATGCCCGGCGGCGACGCGTCGCAGTTGTTTACGTGGAACTACGCGGAGATGATCGCGGCCTACGCGTGGTTGGAGACGCTCGTCAACCCCGTCGGCGGTCTGTTGGTCGCGCTGCTCCGCGTCACGCGCATGTCCTTCGTGGTGACCAAGTCCATGGAGGAGGCCTGGAGCCCGACGTGGCCGCCCTACTGGGCGACCTGCGCCATCTTCCTCGCCCAGTTCGTCGGCTTCGAGGCCCTGGCCTACGTCAAGGACCGCCTCGCGACGCGGCCGCTGCCCTACGCGCGGTCGCGCCTCGGCGCGAAGCGCGAGGCCGCGCTCGACGACGACGTCGCCGCCGAGCGGACCCGCGTGCTCGCCCTCTTCGCCGACGCGGGGAGCGCCGCGCCGCCGGCGCCGGACGCGGACGGCGGGGCGGGCTACGCCGCGCGCGCGGCCGCGGCGGCCGCCGCGGTCAAGGCCGCGCTCACGGACGAGCTCGCGAGCGACGCGCTGGCGCCGCCCGCGGTCGCGGAGGCCGCCGAGGCGTGCGACCGCGACGGCCTGCTCGTGCGCGAGGTGCGCAAGATCTTCCCGCCGAAGCGGCTCGGCCAGCGGGCCATCGAGGCCGTGCAGAACGTCACGTTCGGCGTCCGCAGCGGCGAGGTCTTCGGGCTGCTCGGCGCCAACGGCGCGGGCAAGACGACGACGATGGCCGTGGTGACGCGCGCGCTCGAGCCGACGTCGGGCGACGCGGCCATCGGCGGCCGCAGCGTGCTCGACGACTTCGGGGCGGCGTCGAAGCGGCTGGGCCTCGTGAACCAGCACAACACGCTCTGGGACGCGCTGAGCTGCCGGGACCACCTGCGCCTCTTCGCGGGGCTCCGGGGCTCGGGCGCCGCCGGCGCCGGCGTCGTCGACGCGACGCTGGACCGCGTCGAGTTGCTGGCGCACGGCGACAAGCCCGCGGGCCGGCTCTCGGGCGGCATGAAGCGCAAGCTCTGCTGCGCCGCGGCGCTCGTCGGCGACCCGCGCATCGTGCTCCTCGACGAGCCGTCGGCGGGGCTCGACCCCGTGAGCCAGCGGAATTTGTGGAACCTCATCAAGTCGACGATGGCGGGCCGCGCCGTCGTGCTCACGACGCACTCGATGGTCGAGGCCGACGTGCTCTGCGACCGCATCGCCATCCAGGTCGCGGGCCAGCTCCACTGCCTGGGCACGCCGGCGCACCTCAAGGCCAAGTACGCCTCGGGCTACGAGCTCGTCGTCAAGGTCGACGAGGCGCGGTCGAAGACGTCGCAGGACGACGCCGACGCGGCCGCGGCCGTCTCCGCCTTCGCCGCGGAGCGCCTCGGCGCGACGGAGGTGTCCGCCGACGCGGGCACGCTCACCTACGAGCTCCCGCCGCGGCCGGGCGCCGAGCTGCTCGCCGACGCGTTCGCGGCCTTCGACGGCGACAGACGCGCGGAGCTCAAGGTCGCGGAGTTCGCCGTCGTCCAGGCCTCGCTCGAGAAGGTCTTCATCAGGATTGTCGCCGGCGAGTCCGGCGACATCCACGAGCAGTCGTCCCTCGGCCGCCGCGTCGCCGGCGACCTCCAGGCGGACGACGACGACGCCGAGCGCGACGTCGACGACTTCGTCTTCGCGGAGCCGACGTGCTGCCGCTGCTCCCGCTTCGCCCACAACACGCTCGCCAAGTACCACGCCTCCTGCTGCTGCGTCATGTCCGTCTACCAGATCCTGGGGAGCATCGGCGCGCCCTGGATCGTCTTCAACACGGGGCTCCTCACGATCGCGTTCCACCTCTTCTCCGCGATCACGAACTGCGTCGGCGTCTGCTGCATCCAGGCGCCCCCCAAGGACGCCTAGGCATATCGACACCCCAAGCTCGCTCGATATAAGAAGTGTACATGTCGCGGCGTCACGGCGCTGCTCGCGCCGCCGAGTCGCGGAGCGGCTTCGAGCCGGCCATCGCCGTGGTCGGGCTTCTCGATCAAGTGACAGGGCGATGAACCATTACCTAGCCCCCCCCCCCCCTTGAACCACTCGTCCGCCAACAACGTGTCGAGGACCTTGCCCTGCTGGCCGTAGTTGCGCCTAGACGGCGGGCTGCGCCGCCTCCTCCTCGCCCGCGACAACGCGCACGGCCTCGTTCTCCGCGGGCGGCGGCGACGGCGGCGGCGCGTCCATCTCCTTCTTCGCCACGGGCTCGGCCTGGACGGGGGCCGCGTCCTCCTTCGCGGGGAGGCCGAGGAGCGCGCGGAGGTCGCCCTTGCCGCCCGTGGGGCCGCAGAGCACGAGCGCGGGCATCATGGCGAAGGTAGACACGAAGAAGGACGACATGATCAGCATGGTGATGAAGATGCCGAAGCGCCGGAACCAGAGGAGCTGGCACGCGAACAGCGCGCAGCACGCGCCGAACGTCGTCAGCATGCCGCTGAGCACGGACACGCCCATCTCGCCCATGGCGCTCTTGACGCGGTCCTCGCGCGTCCACGACGGCGGCTGGTGGTTGTACGCGTGGGCCATGTGGAGCACGTAGTCCACGGCCATGCCGCCCGCGATGGAGATGTCGATGGACTCGATGACGTTGACCTCCCAGCCCGCCAGGGCCATCAAAGCCAGCGTCACGGAGACGACGCACAGGAGCGACACGAAGGCGACGGCCGTGACGATCCAGTTTCCCGTGGCGATGAGCATGACCACGAACGCGAGCGCGAGCGAGATGGAGATGTTCTCCGCGGCCGCGCGGAGGAACACGCCCGACGCGACCATCCACGCGTTGAATTCCGTCGTCTGGTACGGCTTCCGGCCGGCGAAGAGGTCGCCCGAGCTGCTCCGCGCGGCCTTGAGCGCGGACTCGCCGGCGTCGTAGAAGTCCCAGAGCTCCTCGAAGGAGTCGCTCCGCGAGAGCGTCGTGTTGAAGCCCGCGTAGGCCGCCTTGACGACGCTGCCCTCGAGCACGAAGCCCGTCATGTCGCCCCGCAGGCCGTGCGCGTCGTCGTGCATGTTGCCGTAGGGCCAGTCCCAGGAGTCGCGGAACTCGAGGAGCTTCGCCGCGAACGCGCCGCAGTCCGACGGCTCGTAGGGGAACGACGAGCCCTCGTGCTCGACGTAGTTCTTGAAGTCGCTCATGAAGTTGTAGTGCGCCGTCTCGTAGTGCGGCGCGCCGCCCTTGGCCTGGATCACCTCGAAGTAGGCCTGGGACGCGTCGATGAACTCCTGCTGGTGCCCGCAGAGGTCGATGCCCTTGTAGTTGGCCGACCCGACGCAGTCGCTGCCCTCCTCGACGCAGGCGGGATGCGACCCGTCGTCCATCTCCCAGGGGTCCGCCTCGTCGACGCCCGCGACGAGGAAATTCCCCGGCTTCTCGTCGGCCCGGTCCGTGAGAAACTTCTCCCGGAGCGCCTTCGTGTGCTGCGTGTAGACGTGCTGCTTGTCGAAGAAGTCCAGCGCGTCCGTCGCCGGCACGAGCGTCGTCGTCCAGATGGCCGTCGCCGCGACGAAGATCGCTATAAAAATCGCGATGAGCGGCTTGTGGAACTTGATGATCGCGTCCGCGAAGACGCCGCCGTAGACCTTCTCGACGAGCCGCGCGCCGTCGGGCACGACGTAGGCCGCGCCCTTCTCCGGCGCCGGCGGCGACTCCGCGGGCGTCACCGCCGCCGCCTGCTTCGGGAAGCAGCAGCTCCAGCGGCAGCAGCCGCAGAAGTACTTCTCGCGGACGATGATCGCCGCGGGCAAAAAGGTGATCACGAGCACGTAGTCCGCGAGCACCATGACGCCCGACACGACGCCGAAGCACCGGATGTCCCAGATCGCACTAAAGGCGCAGGCCGTGAAGGCCGCCCAGGTCGTGAAGGACGTCGCGAGCATCGCCGACGCCGCGCGCTCGTAGGCCCACGCGAACCGCAGCAACAGGTCGCCGCGGACCTCCGGGTCCGGGTGGAGCGCGGACTGCTTCCACGCGTCCATCAGCACGAAGATGTCGTCGGCGCCGATGCCCAGGATGATGAACGCGCCGTTGTACATGAGGTAGGTGATGTACTCCTCGCCCATGAGCACCGTCCACACCTGTGTGGAAATCAACCACTGGTTTGGGGGGTCCCCACCAAACTTCAGAACTCTCTATCTCGGTCAAATCGAAGTCGATTCGACTGATTTTTGGACGAATCGATTGCTCTCATCGAGTTCTCGAAGCACAACAGAAAGCCTCGCGTCGAAACGGTCGCATACGCGCACATTGAAGTCGGGTTGAAGATTTGATTTCCACACAGGTCCATACGAAGAGCCCGCAGGGGAACGAGATCGCGATCTCGAAGAGGCCGCAGAGCGCGATGAAGATGGACCCCGTCTGCAGGATCAAAATGATCAGCACGATGGCCATGGCCAGGTTGAGCATCCGCAGGTCCTCGTTCAGGTAGTACTGGATGGGGTCGATGCCGTTGAAGAGCAATTCGAAGTCGGGCTCGTCGTCGCCGTCGACCTCTTCCAGATCCTTCTTGAGCTTGTGGAGCTTCGGCATGAGCGACGCGACGGCCCAGTCCTCCATCTCCTCCCAGTCCTCGTCGCTGCCCGCGTCGCCGCTCCACGACAGCGGGAAGCCCGTGCTGAAGGTGAACGCCGCGTACGACACCTTGTTGGAATCGCAGTCCCAGCCGCCGCCGACCGTGTAGGCGCGCTGCGCCGCGAGGCCGCCCCGGCAGTCGGCCTCGGCGCCGCTCGCGTTGGCGGACATCTTGACGGAGTAGCGGAACCCGCGCTTGACGCGCATGACGTCCGTGCTGTTGCACATGGCGTAGAGCGCGTCGCCGGGGTCGTAGTCCGACGTGCGCGACGTCGCCGCGTCGGCCGCGCACGCGGGCACGGCGTCGGGCCAGTAGGGCGCGCAGTAGGTCGCCAGCGCGCAGTCGTTCGACGGCGCCGCGGAGGCGTCGTAGACGCCGCGGAACAGCGACGTCGGCTCGACGCACGTCGCCCCGCCGTCGTCGCTGAGGCAGTAGTCCGCGAAGCCGTCCGTGCGCTGCACCTGGCGGATGAGCTTCCGTAATGTCTCGAGGCCCTTGCCGCCGAGCACCGTCGACGCGCCCTTGGCCCGCAGGATGACGCTGCAGCTCTCCTCGGCCTGCCGCTGGGGGCGCATCCACCAGTCCTCGTCCTCCTCGTCGAGGCGGCGCCGCGCGCGCCGGGCCGGCCGGCGGCCGAAGACCTTGGGCAGGCGCAGCGCCGCCGGCAGCCCCGCGAGCGCCGCCGTCTCGACCCTGGACCGCGGCCGGCGCCGCGGCGCGGCCTCGCCGAGGCGGCGCCGCTCGTCCTCCTCGCGGCCCGTGTCGGACCAGTAGTCGTGGCGCATGGCCAGGAACCCGTAGAGCTTGCGCACGATGGGGTCCTCCGTGTCCGTGAAGCTGCCGCCGAGCTCCGACTCCCCGGCGGTGAAGGCGAGCATGGCCAGGACGATGGCGATGCCGCCCGAGGCCATCATGACGGCGACGGGGTACGCGACGACCATGCGGCTGAACCGCCCGGGCCTGGGACGCTCGTGGTGGCCGCCCATGGCTGCCCCGAAGTCCTGACGAAGGGCGTGTGCGTTCCTCGCTTTGCCGCGCAAACGCCAATCGGCTGCACCGTGGTGGTGACGTTGGCATTGAAGTGTGAAGCGCCACTGTGGCAGAGAGCATGAGCAGCGCCTGATGTGGTTGCCGAGGCCTCTGTGGCAGAGCATGAGCGCGTTTCGCTCCTCCGGCGCTGGGATGGCAGCCGCATGAGGCTCGCAACCGCAGCCGCACTACTCTCCAGCATCACCATGGCCGCGCAGCTCGCCGGCCGCCGCGAGACGGCGGCGAACCTGCTGCGCCTCGGCGCGCCGCGCGCCGCGGCGCGGCTCGGCCTCGGCGTCGCGCGCGTCCGCGCGCCCTTCGCCGTCGAGGCGTTCACGGACGTCGCCGACGCGGCGACCGCAGAAGCCTTCGCGGCCGCGCTGCGCGGCGCCGCCGAGGTCGCGTTCGACGCCGAGTGGCGGCCCGACGGCCCTCGGGACGACCACGCGCCGTCGCTGGCCCAGGTCGCGGTGCGCGGCGGCGGCGTCTATCTGCTGGATCTCGAGGTCGACGCCGGGCGCGAGCCGGCCCTCGCGGCGCTCGAGGAGGCGCTCTGGAGCGAGGATGTTATTGTCTACGGCTTCGGCGCGCGGACGGATCTCGAAAAGCTCGCGCTGCTGCGGCCGGGGCTCCGCGGCGCGCGGCGCCTGCGGGACCTCGAGGACGCGGGCGCGGGCCTCAAGGACGCCGTGCACCAGCACACGTTCTTTACGATCGACAAAAAGGAGCAATGCTCGGACTGGAAGCGCAGGCCGCTCACCCCGGCGCAGCGAAGCTACGCGGCCGCGGACGCGGCCGTCCTGCTGGCGTTGAGCGACGCGCTCGAGGACCAGCCCGCGGAGCAGACCTGCGCCGTGACCGCGCGGACGCTCCGAGGCGCGGCGCCGCCGCGCGCGTCGCGCGCCGCCGCGGTCGACGCCGCGGCGGTGCGAGGGGTGATCGTCGACGTCGCCGACGCGCGAGGCGTCGAGTGCAACGCGCTCTGCGTCGCCGCCGGCGCGGACCGGCTTTTGGTCTTATTCCCGGCGAGCGAGCAGCTCGACTGGAAGTGGTTCGCGCTGGCGACGGGCCGGTCGCGGCGCCAGCTCAAGCTCGCGACGTGGGACCAGTGCGTCGGCGACTTCGGCGCGGAGCCGGGCCGCGTGCCGCCCGTGCCGCTGCGCGAAAACGTCCGCGTCTTCGCGCACCCGGCGCTCGTCGCCGCGCCGGCGCTCGTCGGGTCCACGGGCGACGAGGAGACGCGGCTCGTGTTCCCCGGCGACGCGCTGCCGTCCTTCGCCGAGGTTTTGCCGGACCCGGCGCTCTACGCGAGCGACCTCGACGACGCGCTGGATCGCTTCGCGGCGGAGAAGAAGGTCATGCTCGACAACGCTTTGCAGAGCTGCGCGCGGAAGTTGCGGATGATCGGCGTCGACGCGGCGGTGGCGGGCGAGGTTTTGAACGAGCACCGGGGCGTCACGCCCCGGGGCCACCGGCGGGGCGGATTGGATAGGGTGCGCGTCGACGCGGCGCGCATCGACGGCGACCTGCGGGCCGCGGCGCTGGAGGGGCGGGTGGTCGTCGTGCCGCCGCGGCGGAGCTGCGTGGGCGCGCACTACGTTTTGGCGACCAAAGGCGGCGACGCGAACTTCGACGAGCTTCTGGACGTGTTGGACCTGCGGGGCAGCGTGGAGTACTGGGGCAGCCGCTGCGGCATCTGCAACGGCGGCGACTGGCGGTCCCTGGACAAGGCGGTCGTTCTGGGAGAGGTGCCCGCGGCCGTCGTCGACAGCGAGGACGAGTTCTACCAGTGCGGCGTCTGCGGCCAGATCTTCTGGCCCGGCCGCAAGTACGACGACAAGATGAACGGCCTCAAGAACCTCGCGCTCAACGACGAGGAGGACGTACTTCTCAAGGACGCGGTCCACAAGTTCCGCGTGTCGCCGCCGCCTCGGTAAAACTTAGGGGTCCACCCAGTCGTACACGTCGGCATCCGAGTCGATGTATATCGCCACCACCGCAGTGCCGCCACCGCTCAAACCCGAACTCTTAGAACAGGCACGCGTACTTCTCGGCGTCGGCGTCCTGGGCGCCGCCCTCCATCTTCGACGTCCAGAAGCACTGCGTGTTGAAGACGAGGTCGTCGCCCCACCACGTGTCCCAGATCTGGTTGCCGCGGTCGAGCTGCGCGGTGATGTTCTGGGAGAAGAACTTGTGCTCCGGCGTGCAGTACATGAAGACGAGCAAACGACCGTCGACGATGCGCCAGACGTTCGGGTTCGAGAAGGGCCCGAGCGTCGACTTGGTCCAGAAGGTCTCGTCGGAGATGCCGTAGGAGCAGAAGCCGCCGAACTTGGGCGCGTAGCGCGCCGGGTCCGCCGCGAACGCGGCGCGGTTCGCCTCGCTGGCGAACCAGAAGCTGTAGTCGCCGTACGACGCCTCGAACTCCGGCGACCCGTAGGTCGCGTTCGCGCCGGCCTCGAGGGAGTGGTACGCGACGACGTCCGCGCCGTCGAGGACCGGGCCCGCGGCCGCGTCCGTGCAGACCTCCGTCTGGGGGCCGTCGGCGGCGTCCTCGACGTCCGCGACGTTGACGTCCATCTTCTCCGTCGCGGGCGTGAAGGCCGGCGGCGCGTCCGGGTCGCGGCCCCGCGCGAGCTGCGCGCCCTTGTGCTTCGCGTGCGAGTTCTCGGTGTGCGTCCGCGCCTCGTCGAACTTCTTCACCTCGTGGACCTGCGTGTCGACGTGCTTCACCTTGACCTCCTCGGTGTGCGTGATGACGTGCTTGTCGTCGACCTTCTTCGTCTTCTCGGCGCGGCCGAGGTCGAGCGCCTCCTTCACCTGGACCGCCTGTTTCCTCGCCTTCTCCTCGGCGACGTGCGCCTCCTTCTTGGTCAGGCCGTTCTCCTTCTTGGGCAGCGGCTTGCCCGTCGGCGACAGCGGCTTGCCGTTGCTCGTCTCCGCGAAGTAGACCGCGGACGACCCCGTCACGGGCAGCGCGCCGCCGTTCGCGCCGGCGTAGAGGAAGAGGCCCAGGGCGACGAAGCTCGTGAGCGCCACGCGCGCGCTCGGCCGCTCCCGCGCGGGCGCGGACTCGTCGTCGACGTCCGGCAGCCGCGGCGCGCTCGGCGCGCCCACGGCCGACGGCGCGAAGGCGAGGCTGGCCATGTCGGCAGCCCACACCTTCGAGACGCACTCCGCTTTGAGATCGTATCTCTGCTCCAAACAGATGTATTGCTTGACAAGGGCAAATCTCGCTCGGGTAAAAAGCTCGCGGTCATGGCCAAGCGCTGCGAGCTCGCGCCTGTCAACGCGTGATTGACGCGTAGCAATGATGCGCGCCGCCGTCGCGCTGCTGCTCGCCGCTGCGCGCGGCGCAGCGCTCCGAAATGACTCGCGGCGGCGCCTCGCGAGCGGCCGCGAGGTCGTCGTCGTGCCCGTCGGCGGCCGCGCGAGCGCCTGCGCCAAGCAGCGCGTCCTCGCGCTGGCGACGTCCTGCGGGCGCGACGTCGTCGTGCTCGCGGGCGAGGAGCCGGACTCCTGGGCGTCGAGCGCCTGGACGACGGTGCCCCAGGCGACGTTCCCGGCCGCCGGCGACGGCGCGCAGACGTGGAGGACCTTCGCGGGCCACCGCAGCGGCAAGAGCAAGCCGGCCTTCGTGCGCTGGTTCGCGGCCAGCGCCTACGACTACGCCTGGCACGTCGAGGAGGACGCCTTCTTCACGGGGGCCTGGCGCCGCCTCTTCGACGCCGCGGCGGCCAGCGCCGCGGACGTCGTCGCGCCGTGGCTGCGGGAGCGGGCGCTCGGCGCCTGGCACAAGACCCAGGTGGACCATTGCCACGTCTACGGACAGCCCTGCTTCCGCGGGCGCGAGTTCCTGACGCAGACCGCGTGGCCCGCGACGCGGCTCTCGAAGCGGCTCGCGGTCGCGCTCGAAGACGGCCTCGCGTCGGGCCGCGTCGCGGGCCACCACGAGGCGACGACGGCCCTCTTCTGCCGCGAGGCTCTGAAGGGGAGCTGCGTGCTGGAATCGCTGGACGGCGGGTCCGTCGGGTCCGTCGTCCTCGGCGGCGAACGCGTCCCCGAGCCGAAGCCCGGGAAGACGTTCCGCCGCCGGCCCAAGCCCTCCGAGTACACGCTCGCCTTCGCGGCCTACATGGGGCCCCGGGACGTCCACGGCGAGCCCAGGCCCGTCGCCGCGTCGAAGCTCTACCACCCCGTGAAGTGCGCCGCGGACCCGTCGCTCGGCGCGGACGCGGCGGCGTGGGCGGCCACGGGCGCGCCGCGGGGCGCCCACGCCGCGGGCCGCGGCGCGGAGGCGCCGCCGGCCTTTGCGGAGCTCGTGCCCGGCGGCTCGTGGTGCCGGCTGGCGAACCGGACGTCGCTCGCGGCGCCGGAGTGCGGCGCCGTCGGCGCGCGGACGCCGTCGCGGCTCCTCGTCACGGGCGCGGGGTCGTCGGGCACGCTCTACGTCGCCAAGCTCCTCCGGCGGAGCGGCCTCGGCTTCAGCCACGACGACTGGGACCGCTGCCCCTGCCCCGGCCGCGACGGCGCGGTGTCGTGGGTCCACGCGTTCTCGCCCCGGACGGTCGCCGCGGCCGGCGGCCCGCGGACCTGCCCCGGGCCGTCCTGGTCCTGGGGCCGCGACAAGGACCTGCGCTTCGACGCCGTCGTCCACCTCGTGCGCGACCCGCTGAAGACCATCGCGAGCCGCGCGCGGCGCGCGCGCGGCAACGAGACGCGGTGGTTGAAGCACGCGGGCTGCCACACGCGGCTGCCGGGCTTCGCCTACCACTGGGACGAGGTCGTCGCCGCGGCGGCGCGCCACGTCGTGTCCTGGAACTTCTTCGTCGAGGCGCACGCGAGCCGGCGCGTCCGCGTCGAGGACCTCACGGCGGACCCGGGCCCCGTCGCGCGCGGCCTCTGCGCCGACTTCCTGCGCGGCGGGGCTCACTGCCCGGACGCCGCGGCCTTTGCCGCCGCCGCGGAGACGCTCGCGAGCGACGTCAACGCGCACGGCCGCGGGACCAACCGGACGCGCGCGCGCAAGGGCTGGGCCGCGCGGCCGGGGAGCAAGCCCTTCCTCGACGCCATGGACCGAGGCCGCCAGCGCTACGGGGCCCAGTTCGATCCGAACACGGCGGCCGCGCGGAGGCAGCGCGCTTTTCGCGACGGGCGCCGCGACGGGCGCCGCGCCGCGGCCAAGGGCGCGGCGCGACGCCGGAAGAAGAAGAAGTCCGACGTCGGGCGCCAGCTCAACGCCGTCGAAGCGCAACCCGTGACCTGGGCGAGCCTACGGGCCCTCGACGCCGACGTCGCGGCCCTCGCGCGGAACCAGGCGCGCCGCTACGGCTACGCGGCGGCGGATCCGGGCGAGGCGGACGACCCGCGCGACGCGGGCCTCGAGCCGCGCTGCGGCTGGGACGGCGAGGGGCGCTGGGAATGCTGGCTCGTCGAGAAGTAAGGACGTGGTTTCTGTGGTTTGGACTCCTGAGACTAAAGTAAGCTCGTGTTTTGCGATTTTTATTTCGATGTTGAAGCTGTTCTTGAAGTCGCCAAATTCCACAATTCGAGCTCGGAGCGCTTTGCAGCCGCGCGCGAGAGCAGAAGAATACCACACGATGCGGACGCTCATCGCGCTCGCGCTCCTCGGAGGCGCCGAGGCGAACGGCCGCCACGACGCCAACGGCGACGTGATCGCGTCCCTCGCGCCCGAGGAGCTCGCCGTGTCCGCCAGCGGGCACCTCGGCGACCGGCCGCCGTCCTACGACATGTGGTCCACGGGCGACCGCAGCGGCCCGCCGCCGTACCCCTACCCGGCGGACCGGACCTACAACACGAAGGGCGGCCCGAAGGAGGGCATGATCAACGTCCACCTCGTGCCGCACACGCACGACGACACCGGGTGGCAGGTCACGGTCGACCAGTACTTCGAGCGCGAGGTCTACTTCATCGTCGACACCATCGCGCAGCAGCTCGCCGAGGACCCGAACCGCAAGTTCATCTACGTCGAGACGGCCTTCTTCGCGCGCTGGTGGGAGCAGGCGTCGGACGCGAAGCGCGACCGCATGAAGAAATTGGTCGCGGGCAAGCAGCTCGAGTTCATCAACGGCGGCTGGTGCATGCACGACGAGGCGAGCCCGCTCTGGACGGCCATGGTCGACCAGACGACGCGGGGCCACCAGTTCCTGCTCAAGCACTTCGGCCCCGAGGCGAACCCGCGGGGCACGTGGCAGATCGACCCCTTCGGCCACAGCAACACGGAGGCCTGGCTCCTCGGCGCCGAGGCGGGCATGGAGTCCCTGTTCTGGGGGCGCATGGACTACGAGGACCGGGACATGCGCTTCGGCCTCAACCAGACGTCGTCGACGCCGGAGAAGCCGACGACGGGCGGCTTCGAGTGGATCTGGGAGGGCTCCAAGTCGCTCGGCGCGTCGGCCCAGGTCTTCGCGGGCAATCTGTACGGCACGGGCCAGGGCGGCTACTCGACGTGGATGAACTTCGACGGCTCCGACGACCAGATCAACGACGACCCGCGGCGCCACGACTACAACGTGGACCAGTGGGTCGACAAGTTCGTCCAGGACGCGCGGGCCCAGGCCGCGCACACGCTGACGGACCACCAGCTCTGGGCCTGCGGCACGGACTTCCAGTACCAGAACGCGGACCACTGGTTCCGCAACTTGGACAAGTTGATGCACTACGTGAACCTCAACGGGTCCGTGAACGCGTTCTATTCCACGCCGACGATCTACACGGAGTGGAAGCACAAAAACAAGTCCGTCGTCTACGAGGTGCGCACGGACGACATCTTCCCCCTCGCGGACAACGCCCACGACTACTGGTCCGGCTACTTCACGAGCCGCCCGGCGCTCAAGCGCCAGGTGCGCTTCGCCACAAATTTACTCTCCGCCGCGCGCCTCCTCGAGGTCGCGACGAACACGACGGCGGCCGAGGTCGGCCGCCCCACGGCCAAGGCGTCGCCCGTCGTCGGCGACTCCTGGACCGACTCTTTGGAGGGCACCGTCGGCGTCGCGACGCACCACGACGGCATGTCGGGCACGGAGCGCCAGGACGTCACCGACGACTACGAGCAGCGCATCTCCGAGAGCTCCTTCGAGGTCGAGGCCGGCGTCGCCGCGTCCCTCGCGAAGCTCCTAAAGGTCGACAGAGCGGCCATCGCCCACTGCAACTGCAACGCGGCGGGCGACTGCCTGAACATGACGGTCTGCGCGGCGACGACGGACGCAAAGGCCGGCTTCACGATCGCGGCCTTCAACCCGTTGGGCCAGGCCCAGGACGCCATGCTGCGCGTCCCCGTCGGCGTCGCGGGCCACTGGACCTGCGACGACGCGTCGGGCGCGCCCGCGCCGACGCAAGCGCTGCCGTTGGACGACCGGACGAAGTCGCTGCCCCTGCTCTACGTCAACGCGTTCAACATGACGCTCGCCGAGGTCGCCGAGGAGAAGGCCAAGCTCGCCAACAAGGCCGTGCAGGTGCTGGCGATCCGCGCCTCGCTGCCCGCCGTCGGCCTGACGACGCTGTCCTGCGCGCCGACGCCGGCGGCGCCGCGGTACGCGCTCTCGGACCCGCCCGTGACCGTCGCGGACAACGCCGACGGCACGACGACGGTCGCCAACGGCTTCCTCGAGCTCACCTTCGCCGACAAGGCGCTGGTCTCCCTGAAGAATTTGGACGCGGGCATCTCGACGACGCTCACGGCGACGTGGGGCTGGTACAACTCGTCCGTCGGCGGCTGCACGGACTATCCGGATTACTTGCCCAAGGACATCCTCGAGCCGCCGTGCAGCGGCCAGGCGTCGGGCGCCTACATGTTCCGGCCCAACTCGTCGAAGCTCTTCGGCTTCGACCCGGCCTTCGAGCCGACGATGGAGGTCGAGAAAGGATCGTTAGTGACGGAGGTGCGCCTCGCGTCGGCGGACTGGGCGTCGCACGTCGTCCGCCTCCGCGCGGGCGCGCGCCACGTCGAGGTCGAGTGGACCGCGGGCCCCATCCCCGTGGACACGCCCTGGTTCCCGCCCGTGGCCTTCGAGAACGGCAACGCGTCGAAACCGCTGCCGAACAACTGGGGCAAGGAGCTCGTGTTGAAGTACGCGTCGGACCTCGAGTCGGCCGAGACCTTCTACACGGACAGCAACGGCAAGGAGATGGTCAAGCGCGTCCGCGACGCGCGCGGGCCAAGCTACCCGCACCCCTACAACATCTCGGAGCCCGTCGCGGGCAACTACTACCCGGTGAACGCGCTCATCGCGCTCGACGACGGCGCGAACGAGCTCTCCGTCGTCGTCGACGCGTCGCTCGGCGGCGCGTCCATCGACGACGGGTCCCTCGAGCTCATGGTCCACCGCCGGCTCCAGGCCGACGACAACCGGGGCGTCCAGGAGCCCCTCAACGAGACCATGTGCGGCTGCAACGACGTCGGCGCGGCGCCGGGGTCCATGGGCGCGCACGGCCACGAGGGCGACGGCGGCTGCGACTGCGAGGGCCTCACGGTCCGCGGCGTCAACTACGTCGTCTTCGCGCCGTTGCAGGACGCGCACGAGCTCCGCCGCGAGCTCAGCGAGACCATCAACTTCCCGCCGACGCTCGCCTTCGCGCCCAAGGACGCGGCGCCGACGACGTACTCGCTCGTCTCCGAGGCGCTGCCGAAGAACGTCAAGCTCGTGACGCTGACGTCGAACTACGCGGCCTTCAACGGCGGCGCCTGGCTCCTGCGCCTCTCGCACCTCTACGAGGCCGGCGAGCAGGACACGCTGGCCGTGCCCGTCGAGGTCGACCTCGAGAAAATCTTCGCCGAGGCGGGGCTGACGATCAAGAGCGCCGTGGAGACGTCGCTCACGGCCAACGGGCCCCTCGACCTCTCGAAGAAGCTCGCGTGGAAGAGCGAGGCGAAGACGGAGGCGCAGCGGGTCGAGCTCGACGCGCGCGCCGCTGTGAGCTTCACGGAGCGCGTCGCCTTCGCCTACCCCAAGGTCACGATCCGCCCCATGGAGGTCCGCACGTTCCTCGCCAAGTTCGAGTAGGCGAAGGTTTTTATCCCCGAACGCGCGCCGCGCCACCCATTGCCAGGCGCCCGCGCCGCCGGTCTAAATTGTCGGCGCCGGGTAGGCGCCGTCGACGAGCGCGACGTAGCGGTCGCGGATGCGGGCGTGCGTCGACGTCGGCCGCGCGCGGAGGGAGCCCGTGATCGGCGTCGTCTTCGGCTTCTTCGGGCCGTCGAAGCCGCCGAAGCACCAGGCGACGCCCGCGTAGGAGTTCGGGTCGAGGCCGTCGAGGGCGTAGGCATCGTTGAGGCGCATCGCGAGGTCGAAGGCCTCGCGCGGCGTCGGCGCCCAGCGGAGGAAGGCCTTGCCCCAGGTCATGCGCAGGTTGTTGTGGAGCTCGCCGTGGCGGATCAGGCAGCGCTGCATGGCGTCCCACATGACGTCGCCCGACTCGCCGCGCTCGAGTCGCTCCGGTCCGACGACCGTCCGCGCGTCCGCCGCGTGGTCCGCGAGCTGCGTCCGCGCCCAGGCCGGCAGCGTGCCGTAGGCGTCGGCGGCGATGGCCGCCTCGTGCTTCCCGCAGAACGCGTAGCCCATCTCGCGGAAGACGAGCAGCTCGTCGAGGAACTTGTCCGCGCGCGCGGCCTGCGCGTCCCGGGCCATGAGAAAGACGGGGATGCAGCCGTAGTGGACGTGGGCGCTCAGCCGCGACACGGCGTTCACGGACGTCGCGTCGTTGCGCCGCTTGCCGTAGGAGGCGAGCCCCCGCTGCTTGTAGGACGCCCAGCGGCGCTTCGCGAACGTCGACCCGCCGACCATGGACGTCACGCGCGTCACGGCGCGGTCGCACGTCGCGACGGTTCCCAGGACGCGGTCGACGGCGCCGGCGTCCGCGAGGAGCGCCTTCGTGACGTCGTCGTAAACGCACGCGCGGCCGGCGAGCAGCTCGCGGTCCAGCGCCTCGAAGCCGGGGCCGTCCAGGACGCGCTTGCGCCGCGCGGCCGTCGCGGAGCGGAAGGCGTACGCGCGCGCGCAGGCCCGCGTCGCCTCCGGCGCGCGGAACGGCACGACGCAGGCGGCGTCGACGGCCGAGACGCGGCGGCCGCAGTCGGCGAGCGCCGCGACGACGGACCGGTACGGCTCCAGGGGGCAGTCGTCGCAGAAGACCGCGCGCGCGCCCGCCGCGAGGGCCGCGAGCCGCTCCGCGCCTTCCCCGAGGACGGCGACGCACGCGTCCGCCGCGCCGGCGAGGCCCGCCGCGACGTCGCGCAGGCTCTCGAGCTCGAAGGCGCCGTGGCGCGCCGTCCGGCAGCGCAGCGCGACGGCGACGGTCAGCCGGCAGCCCGCGTCGCGCGCCGCGCGCGCCGCGGCGAGCAGCGGCGGGTTGCACTCGACGCGGAGCGCCAGCTGGAGCACGCAGAGCACGTAGTCGCCGGCGCCGGGCGGCCCCGCGACGACCCGGACGTAGTCGGAGGGGGGCGCGACGACGCGGACGCGCTCGTCGAGGGCGGCGGAGGAGTGCTTCGCGTCCTCCTCTTCGACGCGCGGGCGCTTCGTCGTCGCTGTGGAATTCGCGCCGGCGGAGCGCTTCGTCGTAGTTGCGCCGACGGAGCGCTTCGTCGTCGCTGCGTCGCTCGGACCGGCGGAGCGCTTCCGCGCCTCGGCGCGCGCGGCCGCGGCCGATCCGTGGCGCCGCGCGGCCGCGCGTTCGACGTCCGCGGTCGCGAACGAGCCGTCCGTCGCTTTGACGAAAAACAGGTCCGCGTCCGTGAGGCCGAAGGTCGTCAAAGCTTCGGCGCGCTGCATGCGCGGCGCTGCTTGCTGCGTCTTGCTTAGCTGCGGTGGCGCGGCGCTTTGCTGCGGCGGTGCGACCGCGCAAGATTGCGGTGGCGCAGTGCTCTCCGACGACGCCTCCGACAGGGATAGGCTCAACGCATGCTGTAACTCCGCATGCTCTTGGCTGCGCGCCGTACGCTCTTCGTCGAAGGTTGCGCGGCTCGCGGCGAGCGCTTTTGCGAGCTCGTTATCCGCCATCGTTGATGACTTAGTCAGAGACGAGGAAGGCCATGTCCATTCAGGACTGGTCAACATCAACATGGCTTCAACGTGAACATCGAGACATCATAAGCGCCACCAAAACCTCTTACCGCCGCGCCGCCGCCGCCCTAGAAGCAGCTCAGGTGCTCGACGTAGGCGTCGAGCTGGTGCTCGAAGAGCGGCGAGCCGACCTTCTTGCCCGTGGAGAGGTCCTGGATGGGCGACTTGACGACGCACTCGACCCAGAGCTGGGCGTAGATGTGGTGCAGGTTTTGCCTCAGGTCGCCGGCCGCGTTGTCCGTCACGAGGATGAAGCGGTAGCCCGTGAGCGTCTCGTAGGAGTGGAGCGTGTACGAGTCCGTTTTGATGGCCAAAAGGCCGTCGCCGCTCTTCCGCGGGGCCATCTTGTCGACCATCTCGTTGACGGAGTAGAGCATGCCGAAGATGAGACGCTTGAACTCGCCGCCCTCGTCCTCGCGCTTCAGCCCGTTCCACTCCTTGTTAAAGAGGCACACGCCGCGGCGATTAAAGACGTAGAGGCTGTAGAGCATCGCGGGTTTCTGGGGCGTCTTTTTCGCTCGCGCGCGTCGCAGGCGTGTTCCGCGCGGTGTTCTCGGCGCAGCGGTGCGTCGGGGAGCGCGCGGCACGGCTGCGCGCGCGCGTCTCCGCGTCCTGCTGTGGCAAAAGCTGGTCTTGCAGCGCGAGCACAAAGAGGGCAATGGGCCCCTAGTTACTGTCCACTATGGGGCCGTACTATTCCAAAGAAACGTCGAACGACGACGTTTACAGGTCCAGCAAGTCTCCGTCTCGGTCCGCGAGTCCGCGAGCGACGAAGCGCGGGCGCAAGACGACGCCAGTGCTCGATGCGCGGGACGTGCTGAACGCCGCCGGCGGCGGCGCGCCGTCGCCCGCCGCGTCGCCCGCGCCGCCGCCGCCGCCGCCGCCGCCCGAGGAGCCGCGCGCCGCGGCGCTCCGGAGGCTCGCTGAGCTCGGCGCGGAGCTCGACGAGATCAGGCCGGGCAGTTTCGAGCCGCGCGTCGTCGAGGAGCTCGTGACGCGCCTGCTCTGCCGCATCGACGCCGTCGACACCTGTAGCGACCCCGAGCTGCGCGGCATCCGGCGGGACCTCGTGCGCCGCGCGGAGGCGCGGTCCGCGGCGCCCTAGCCCGCGCCGGTAAAAAACGCGCCGCCGCTCGTCGTCTGAGACCCGGTCGGCTTAGGGCGGATGGCGCGCGCGCAGCGACAGGTGCGAGGCGAATGGAAGCGTGGTCGGTAGAAGGGAGCCGCTCCGGCGCGCGCCGCGTCTCTTTCGGACGGGCGCCTCAGCCTTCCTCCTCCTCCTCCTCCTCCTCCTCCTCCTCGCCGAAGGCCTCGAGCGTCTCCGCCATCTCGGAGCCCTTCTTGCCCGTGGCCGCCGGGCTGCTGTTGGCGGCCATCGTCGTGCGCGTCGCCTTCTTCTTCACGGACACGCGCGACATGACCAGCCCCTTCATGATCTCGCCGACGATGGACAGGAACACGCTCAGCAGCTTCTCGTCGTCCTTCGTGAAGATGCCGCGCTTCTTGTTGATGAGCTGGGCGACGCCGACGACGTTCTTGCCGTGGTCCGACGCGATGGGCATGCAGAGGATGGTCTTCGTGTAGTAGTTGGTCTGCTTGTCGATGTTCTGGTTGAAGCGCGCGTCCGCGTAGGCGTCGGGGATGTTGATGATCGCGTTGTCGCGGCCGCAGGACGGCGCGATGCCCGGCGACGCGAGGGGGATCTTGAAGTTGACCTCGCCCTGCATGGCCCACATCTCGTCGTTGCCCTTGTCTAAGACGAAGATCGTGCAGCGGTCGCACTGGACGACCTCGGGCAGGCGGTTCGTGAGCGTGAAGACGACGGGGTTCACGCCCATGTTCTCGTACAGGCCCTGGACGAGGGCGACCGTCGCCTCCGCGCGCCGCGACGCCTCCAGCGTGCGCTCGTGGAAGAAGGCGTTCTGCAGCGCGACGCCCGCCAAGGAGCTCAGCATCGCGAGCGTCTCCTCGTCGTCCGCGTGAAGGGCCCCTCGGCCTTGTTGATCATCTGCAGCACGCCGACGATCTCGCCGTTTAAATCCTTGATGGGCCCGCAGAGGATGTTCTGCGTCCGGTAGCCGCTCTCCTTGTCCGCGGCGCTGTTGAACCGGCTGTCGTTGTACGCGTCGTGGATGTTGCAGACGGCGCCCGTCGCCGCGACGGTGCCCGCGATGCCCACGCCGTAGGGCACGCGGATCATGTCGGCGCCCTCGGCGACGTGGAGCTCGAGCATCTTCGTCTCGCCCTCCGCGGACTCGGCCGTCGTGAAGATGGACGCGCGGTCCGCGCGGAGCAACTCGCAGCCCTCGGAGATGATGCGCTCGCACGCGTCGTCCGGGTTCAGCGCGCGGATGACCGTCGACGCCTTGACGAGGCGCTCTAACGTCGAGATGCGGTGGTTCAGCGCCTCGGCGGCGGGGCCCCGGATGCCGCCGGGCGGCGCGACGACCTTGCCGTAGATGCGGCCGTGCTCGTCCGCGAGCGACGCGGCGTCGCTGTAGCAGGACTGGACGTACTTCGTCGCGTGCGCACTGTCGTAGGCCTCCTGGCCGCGCTCGTGGAGCTTCAGGTCCACGAGGTCGCGGACGAAGGTCAGCGGGTCGTCGGGCCGATTCAGGATGGCCTCGGCCGTGAGCCACTCGATGACGCTCTTGAAATTCGTGCGCGCCAGGTACGTGCTCGCCTCCTCCGGGTCCGACATCTCCGGCATGGCGGCCTCAAGAAGAGGACCGACCAGGACCGGCGGGCGGGCTGCCGGAGGCACTGCGCTGCGCGACGCTGCTGCCCTGTGGAAGCGAAACGAGCAAACTCCGTCGCGCTAAGCAAAAGTGCAAATGCGAGATACGCAAGCGGTTCTTGAAGAAATGGTAAACCCAAGGCCGCGTCGAAACGCGCGCCTCGACGCGCCGCGGCCTTCGCGCTCCGCCGTGTCATCTCGCAGCACGTGGTTCACATTAGACGACGGCGACCGGGATCGTCGCGGGAGGCTAGCTCGCGAGGGCGACGCCGTCGCTCGACGTCGCTCCCAGGAGGAAGATGGCGACGGCGGCGCCGAGGGCGTAGGCCTGGACCGCGAGGCAGGCGGCGAACTTGGATCGCCTCGACGCCGCGGCCGCGACGGCCGCGGCTCGCTTCGCGGCGGCGGCCGCGCGGCCCGCGCCGGCGCCCCGCTCGGCCCGGAGCTGCTTGAGCGCCGCCGTCAGCTCGCCCTGGACGCGCACGAGGGCGGCGACGTCCTCCGACGGCGCCGCGGGCTCCAGCTCCGGGAGCGGCGGCGGCGGCGGGTGCGCCTCCTCGTACTCGTCGTAGATGTCCTGCAGGTCCTTGACCGCGTTGAGCAGCTGCACGGACTCGCGGCGGCTCTTCTCCGTCCGCGCCGGGTCCGACGTCTGCGTCAGCGCCGCGTCCACGGAGTCGCCGGCGGCGAGGTGGCGCTCGACGGAATCGAGGCGGTTTTTCAGCAGCTGGCGCGTCGGCGTCTCCGGCGCGGCCGCGCCCGTCGGTACGCTGCGCGTCGGCCGCGCCGCGGGCTCGAGCGAGGCGAGCATCTTTTCCACGTAGGCGAGCCTCGCGTCGGGGCTGGCGCTGCTGTGGGGCGCCATCGCGTGCGAGTGGGCCTCGCGCTCTCCGACGCGGGCTGCCTTGCTCACCCCCGGCCACGATCTGGCCGGGGGAGATGGCGTCTCGCCTCCGCCTCGCCTCGCCTTTGCCGATCCTGCCTGCCGCAATGTCCGTCGCGGAGTCCATTCAAGCCATTTCCACGCCACCCCAAGCCCGCCGATCGTTAGCTGACCGCCGCGTCCCCTCGCAGAATGAAGTCCGCCGTTCTCGCTCTTTGCCTGGCTTCGGCCTCCGCGCTTATCGCCCCCGCGGCGCCCAAAGCGTGCGATCCCGCGTCCAGCCAGCGCGCGCCGAGACATGGGCGCCGCCCGGGCACGCGGCGCCGCCGCCACGCGACGGCGTCGCCCCGCGCGACGGCGCCTGCGACGCGTCGCGCCCACCCGCTCCCTTCTCCGCGCGCGGCCGCGCGCGACGGCCCGATTTCCGCAGGTCCACGCAGCTGCACGCGGTGGACACGGAGCTCGGCGTGCTCCCCCCCCTCGGTTTCTTCGACCCGCTCAACCTCGCGGCGTCCGGCACGCAGGAGGACTTCGAGCGCCGCCGCATCACGGAGCTGAAGCACGGCCGCGTCGCCATGGCTGCGTTCGTGGGCTACCTCGTGCCCGAGGTCTACAAGTTCCCGGGCTACCTGAGCAAGCACGACGGCATCAAGTTCGAGGACGTGCCCAACGGCCTCAACGCGCTCACGGTCGTCCCCGGCCTCGGCTGGTTCCAGATGATCATGGTCGTCGGCTGGCTCGAGGCGGGCCCGTTCGCGGCGAGCCAGAGCGGCTTCGCGGGCGACTTCGGCTGGCCCTACTTCGGCCGCCAGATCCAGGACCCGGCGGAGAAGGCGTCCAAGCTCAACATGGAGCTCCAGAACGGCCGCGCGGCCATGTTCGGCATCATGGGCCTCCTCATGCAGGACGCCGTCAACGGCGAGGTCTTCATCGGCCCCTTCGCCGAGTAAGCGCGGCGCCGCCGGCCGCACCCTCCCCCGCGCGCGTTAGCGACGCGTAACGCCGCGCGATCCCGATGGTCGTCCCGAGCCGCGCGATCCCGACGAGCCCGGGCGAGAGTCGCGATCCCCTTAGCCGCGCTTCGCCCAGGCCGCGTGGAGCTCGAGGTACGCGAAGACGAAGACGCGGAGCCCCGTGCCCACGGCCAGCAGGCTCCAGCACGACGCGGAGAACGACAGGTTCCCGAGCCCGTAGAACTCCAACACGGCCTTGCCGTCCGCGAAGGGAAAGGCGACGTCGCCGTACGTCCGCCACTCCGACACCGCGAGCGCGTTCAACCCGAAGTACAGCGGGTTCACGCTGTTCCACCACGCGAAGTACCAGGGGATGTCCACGGACCGCTCGTAGAGCCCGCCGAACAAGATGCAGGGGTAGACGACGACGGGCGCCACGATGAGCGCGACCTCGACCGGCAGCACCGCGGGCAGGCAGTAGCCCAGGCCCGCGCCCGCGTACGCGACCAGCTGCGCCACCAACAAAAACGCCAGAAAGTGGGCCCGGTCGTCCCCGGACCCCTTGCCGCAGCGCGGGTCGACCATGACGTAGACGATGGCCATGTTCGCCGCGGCCAGGAAGACCTGCACGGGCGCGTCCGTCACGACGTAGGCGACCAAATGCGCGGAGATCTCGTAGAGGCCGCCCGCGGACTCGCGGTACGCCAACGGCATGGACTTGCCGATGAGGCCGATGCAGGGGAAGAACGACGAGAAGAGCGCGCTGGTGCATATAATGAAGAGGCAGCCCGTGACGTCGGGCACGCCGCGCGCGTCGACGCCGCAGCCCGCGCGGCGGTACATGGACCCCGCGAGGACGGCCATGACGACGGAGAGGACGAGCCGCGCGGCGAGCAGGGGCCACTCGCGCAGCAGGTTCAGCGTCATGCGGGCCACGACGGCGGCGACGCGACACCGCCGCGGCGCGCCGACGCGGCGCGCCGCGTAGCGCGCGCCGGCCTTGGCGGCGGGCGGCGGGCCCCTCGCGCGCGCCGCGGCCGCGACCAGCTTCGGCAGCCCCTCGGAGCCGACGAGCTCCATGAGCCGCTCGCTGTCCGACACGACGAGGTCCGCGCGC